ATTGATATGAATCATTCATCATGACTGATGTCAAATGTCTGGTCATCTTGTGAACCAACATTACTGAGGTGCTCCCTACCACTAACACCAGAGTTCAATATCATCAACAGGTAACATACAGAGTATAATCTCTATACATTTTGATGATACAAATTTGTAAGGAATTCCAAATCAATCAAAACTGATCTGCCTCAAGTTCTCCTTGTTTCTGCTTGTTTTGGTTCGGTTTGGTTTGTTGTTTAATGCCACACTCAGCAATATTCCAGCCATATGATGGCGGTCTGTAAATAATCGAGTCTAGAGCAGACAATCCAGTGATTAACATCATGAGCATCAATCCATGCAATTGGGATCGATGACATGCAACAACCAAGTCAGCGAATCTGACCACCCAATCCCGTTAGTCGCCTCATAAGACAAGCATAGTCACCATTTACCATGTTTACTGCAAGCTTGGGTTGCTAAAGACCCAGATGTTCACAGGCCGTTTCTGCTTGTGATGTCATCTTGTACAGTGTTGTATCACCCTATTTATAATGTCGATACTGTACAAATGTATGGAAATAGAAAGAAAATCATAATTTCAATGGCACAGAAAACTTTACATTTAATAAGATTACCATGGTGAAGATTGACAATAAGCATGAAGATAATACAGAAATATTCCATTTTAAACATCAATTTCAATGGAACAGAGAAGTCCGTAGCCGGCATTAAATTCAAGGTCTATATAGGTCATTTTTATCTGTACACATACCCCCCATACAGAAAAGAATTCAGTGACTGACATCATGAGCATCGATCTATGCAATTTGAATATGATCATATGCATCGGCCAAATGAGGGAGCCTGAGCAATCGACCCTGTTTGTCACCTTACGACAAGCATGGCTTGCTGAAGACCAATTCTAACCCTGATCTTTACTGAGTGACTTAGTATGGTATCACAGCAGCGGACACCAGAAATGGGCTTCACACATTTTACCCATGTTGGGATTCGAACCCGGGTCTTCAGCGTGATGAGCGAACACTTTAACCACTAGGCTACCCGACTGCCCCCGGATCTTCACGGTGGTGAACATGAAACATTATCTCGAACATGTCTATGCACCAGTTCACAATAATAATTTGGGTTTGCAGTTGAGATAAGGACTAGAAGGACCAACTTCCCCCTTTTTTGTATCACTTTCAGATTCCCTGATTAACATATAATATAAATCCATGTCCTCTCCCTTGGAAGCCTACCCTGACTGAATCTTTGAAGTATTTAATGGGATTAAAAAAAGAAGAGAAATTTGAAAAGGGCTAATGTTTGAGATGCAAGTTTTCACTTTGTCATTTTTGCTAGGCCTAGACAGACGTAAGTGAAACATGTGGTCTATACCCCACACATTCAATAAATCCATCATGTGACACTAATTAACTGTTTTTCAGAAAGACAATGTGATTTTTCAAGTGCTGAAGTTATGACTGTGTACATCCAATTAGTTCCCTGTTTGTACCCACAAAGATTGATCGACAAAATGACTTCAGTGTGTTTTAACAACAACCAATCAGAGACTTCGAATCAATGAGTACCGGTAATGGATATTTCAACATGATGTGAATTGAAATCGTAGCTCTCTCATGGTGGTCAGCATAGTCTAGTATGTTTCATGCCACCGACGCATTAACAATTTGCTCTCCATATTTCATGCATGTAAATAAATTGTGAAAAAAATTGTTATTTGAGGGAGGACAACCATATTAGTGTACTTTTAGGCTTAACATTGTAACTATTATGCCAAAATCATAATGGCTGGCACCTACTTGTAACTCGGGTAAGATAAAAATGATGGGGAAGTATATGATAGCTGACTGTCAGTGTACGTGGCACTTGGCTGTCAGTTGAATAATCCTTTGAGTAAGCATTGCAACTGAAAAGAATCTTGTTTTGAAATTACAACCATACTTTGTAGCCTGTAAATAATTGAATCCTGGCCTGGTGCCAACATATAAATGCATGAGCAATGACACACTGCGTCTACTCCATCAGGGCATGATGACATCCCCTCAACCAGGTCACACAGCGACAGTCGGCTCCATCATGTACAACAAGCATGGGGACCTATCCATGAGACATGACCCACTGAGTTCACTCCATCAGGGTATGATGACATCCCCTCAACCAGGTCACACAGCGACAGTCGGCTCCATCATGTACAACAAGCATGGGGACCTATCCATGAGACATGACCCACTGAGTTCACTCCATCAGGGCATGATGCCATCCCCTCAACCAGGTCACACAGCAACAGTCAGCTCCAACATGTACAACAAGCATGGGGACCTGTCCATGAGACATGATACACTGCGTCCACTCCATCAGAGCATGATGACATCCCCTCAGCCAGGTCACACAGCGACAGTCGGCTCCATCATGTACAACAAGCATGGGGACCTGTCCATGAGACATGATACACTGCGTCCACTCAATCAGAGCATGATGCCATCCCCTCAGCCAGGTCACAGATTAATAGTTGGCTCCAACATGTACAACAAGCATGGGGACCTATCCATGAGACATGATCCACTGAGTTCACGCAATCAGGGCATGATGACGTCCTCTTAGCCAGGTCACACAGCGACAGTCGGCTCCAACATGTACAAACATGGGGACCTATCCATGAGACATGATCCACTGAGTTCACGCAATCAGGGCATGATGACGTCCTCTTAGCCAGGTCACACAGCGACAGTCGGCTCCAACATGTACAAGCATGGGGACCTATCCATGAGACATGACCCACTGAGTTCACTCAATCAGGGCATGATGACGTCCCCTTAGCCAGGTCACACAGCGACAGTCGGCTCCAACATGTACAAGCATGGGGACCTATCCATGAGACATGACCCACTGAGTTCACTCAATCAGGGCATGATGACATCCCCTTAGCCAGGTCACACAGCAACAGTCGGCTCTAACATGTACAACAAGCATGGGGACCTGTACATGAGCAATGTGGGCAATGTGGTTGAAGCATTGGCTCGTCACACCTTAGACCCTGGTTTGATTCCCCACATGGGTACAATGTGTGAAGCCCATTTTCCGGTGTCCTCCTCCATGATATTGCTGAAATATTGCTAAAAGCGGCGTAAAATCATACTTGTTCTCTCACTCCATGAGCAATGCCCAAAAGAGTTCACTCCATCAGGGTATGATGACATCCCCTCAACCAGGTCACACAGCGACAGTCGGCTCCATCATGTACAACAAGCATGGGGACCTATCCATGAGACATGACCCACTGAGTTCACTCCATCAGGGCATGATGCCATCCCCTCAACCAGGTCACACAGCAACAGTCAGCTCCAACATGTACAACAAGCATGGGGACCTGTCCATGAGACATGATACACTGCGTCCACTCCATCAGAGCATGATGACATCCCCTCAGCCAGGTCACACAGCGACAGTCGGCTCCATCATGTACAACAAGCATGGGGACCTGTCCATGAGACATGATACACTGCGTCCACTCAATCAGAGCATGATGCCATCCCCTCAGCCAGGTCACAGATTCATAGTTGGCTCCAACATGTACAACAAGCATGGGGACCTATCCATGAGACATGATCCACTGAGTTCACGCAATCAGAGCATGATGCCATCCCCTCAGCCAGGTCACAGATTCATAGTTGGCTCCAACATGTACAACAAGCATGGGGACCTATCCATGAGACATGATCCACTGAGTTCACGCAATCAGGGCATGATGACGTCCTCTTAGCCAGGTCACACAGCGACAGTCGGCTCCAACATGTACAACAAGCATGGGGACCTATCCATGAGACATGACCAACTGAGTTCACTCAATCAGGGCATGATGACGTCCCCTTAGCCAGGTCACACAGCGACAGTCGGCTCCAACATGTACAACAAGCATGGGGACCTATCCATGAGACATGACCCACTGCGTCCACTCAATCAGGGCATGATGACATCCTCTTAGCCAGGTCACACAGCGACAGTCAGCTCCATCATGTACAACAAGCATGGGGACCTATCCATGAGACATGACCCACTGCGTCCACTCAATCAGGGCATGATGACGTCCCCTTAGCCAGTAGGTCAAACTTACAAGGATTAATAGCAATAAACACTGACTGTAAAGTTCATAAGCATAATGACTGTCCTTTTGCAAGGACACTATAGATTGGTCAGGCTGATGAAGGAAACAGAAGGATTCTCTAACATTTGTCTGGAGAGACACGTTCTAAACTAGCAGCAAGAATAAATCAATCTGCAAACAAAAAATAAAATCACAAGTTTTTGAAGACCCTAGGGGACTTCAGGATCCATTGAACACTGCTGATTGATCCCTTACTACCAGTCGCAGACGTATGATTGATTTAGAAACCAAGAAAACGCCTTATCTTGCAGCTACGCAGGATGCCATTATGGCATCCACTGTCTACTTTAGTTGGGTAGAGTTCAAGAATGAGCACATAAACATTCTTAAAGAAACGTTATTTTCACCATCTAGAATGTTCAGCGGTGCCTCATTTATTAATCCTGGTAAATGGTAGACATACCAGGAAATCTGACAACCTAAATTAAAAAGTATGAAAACAGAAAATGTCTCTTGCCAGCAGCACCTTACTTGTCATCCAGATCAATTGGAAAATGTTTGTGAATATGATTAGTGAAGGAAACAACCATTAATAATTGTCGCAATTCATGATTTGTACCCTATCCTCCACTTGCAATTAAAATGATTTCAAACTGACCACACAAAGGAAAATTGTGTATGTTAATCATCTTTAATAGTCTAAATCTGGTTAAGTTTTCTGGGATAATGAATTGTCTTAAGGAATAGTTAACTTAAGAGCGATCACTGGTCCTAGTGCAAGAAATATCCATCTGTCTTACACCAAGTACGCTAAACATGGTATGTATATTTATCTGGAGATTGAGGCGAGATGAGGAATGAAGACTTCACACTATGATGATACACTTACAACTTTCCCTGGTCGAGCCCACGTGTACACAAGTCCTTCCTGACACGCTGTCACTATGCACTCTTCTCGAAACACCAGAGACGTTAAACGTTCATGCGCCACTTTCTTACAAATTAGAGGTTCCAGAATGGGAACTTCCTCTAATCGAGGACAGGACGCTGTCCCCAAAAGTTTTAACGACTCGTCTATAGGCCTCACATGGTTAGACTTAAGTAGATTGACTTTCTCAGTGTTCCGACTCGCTAGACTAAAGTTCCTTTTGTGTTCCTTCTTTTCCTGACTCTCCTTCCGATCTGCTACTGAGAGGGTTGCAAATTTACTGCTGGCATTCATGACAGCATTTTGTATATGGTGAGCATTGCCGTCCATAGCCGACACATCATTTGCAATGGAGTTGGGCTTTTGAGAGTTTGGTAGACTGTTGCAGCGGGGAAGAGAAGAGGCAGCATTTGCCGATGCCACAACGCTAGTCCAAGACCGTCCATACGGCTGCCTGACAATGTCCTCGGTCAAGTCCCACAAACACAGCATAGTATCCTGACCTACAGAACCGAATCTGTAGGATGTGAATGTCACATTTTTACCTTCCGTGGAATTACTTTTTGAACTGACATGGGAGCCATTAGACTGAGGTAAATCAAGAGTTGAATCTTTTGACCCGGTATGATTGGCTTTTGAATGGGGACAGTCTTCTTCCTCTTCCATGTAATCACAGTCTTCTTCATCACACACAATTGACGTGAACGTGTCAAAGGCCACGACATTCACCCATGACCTATGACCTTGACCTCGGCATACAACCCTTTTCTCTTGAAAAGACCACACCGTCACTAGGTCATCCTCTCCCCCAGTGACGAGATACCTCCCGTCCGGTGACCAACACACACACAGAAGTCCACCAAAGAAACTCTTCATTGTGCCATGAAGTTCCATAGAGTTATAGTTGAACACGCGGAGGTAGCCATCTTGACTAACAATTGCAATATACCGTGAACACGGAGAAAATGCAAACTCATTAATTGCCCCTTGCCCCACTATCCACCGATACATGGGGTTGCGAGTAGTCTTTGTTTTACATGTGTACACAGAGAAGCCTTCGCCCTGCTTAAAGAGCTGGTAGTGTGGAGGTGTAGGCCCACACGGCAAGTCCTCATTATACACATACATCTGACCACTGCCGTGAGATACCAGGAACTGGTTGGGTGACCCCGGGATCCACTTGATACAAGTCACCTTGGTCTTGTCAATTAACCTCTGAAACAATAATAGTAGTGTTTAGCTAAAGAAATCCTTAAAAGCTTCCAGTTCATGCCAAAATATTCCTTATTGTACAAGAGATAGTTTCTGGGATTTAGGTAGGTATTCTCTGAAGTCGATGTTCAGCCAAAGCCTTCAGCAAATGCTGGTAAAAATTCCCAGTTAGAATCATAGATTGCCAATTTGAGATTTTCATAAATCGAAATATAGTCTGACATAATTGTTTTGACAACTCTTTAATCTTTTAATAAAACAAAATCCCAATTTTCCTTGCTAATTCCCTGGGCATAACTTAACAGGATGAACCATGTTCTAGTGATTCTCGCATAAATTGTAAACATGATTATAGCACAAAAGTAAACACTTCTAAAGCAAAGTTCACACACAGCTGTGATTTTGCATAAGCACTAAACATTTGAACATTGTTCAATGTAGTATCTCTTTCATGACACTGGAAGATGCACCACTGAATATTAACAATAACATACAGCAGGGACTTATCCAGGATTCCAAACCAAGTGCCCTTGGTACGCAATTTGGTGAAATAAAAACTGTTATTTTGCTCAGATTGAACAGTGAATTACAAGTCACTTCTACAAACCATAATGAGAGCTCCAGATAAACTGCGTATCTGCGTAAAATATGCATCAGAAATGCAGAAATACGCAGTAAAATAAAATCCAAACGTATCAACTACGCAACGAACATTACAGATACGCTACAAAAATAAAACTTATGCGTATCATCAAAATATTGTGAAGTAACCCTGCGTATTGATTAGCAAATCAGAAACTTATTTTGAAATTATAAACCGGCATTCCGTCAACCTTGCCAAACTCCACGATGACAGTAACATCATGATCATTTGCCATCACACTTTCTTGTGGAAGTATCGTGGTATTTTTGAGTCCTAAAAAGCTCTCGAACCCACACGACACCAGTTTGCAGGGACTAGATGAATAGTGTTTTTAAATATTTAACTTAAATACCCACATGTGTAAAAACTAGTGGGTAACAGAGATTTGAATACCCAGATAGAATAACTGATACCCAATAATTTTAAAATGCATGGGTAAAATACCCACAACACCAAAAGCTTATCTGGAGCTCTGCATAACATAAGTCATTAATAGATAACATGAATTGGGAAATTTGTAATTCCAATTTGGGACTTTTTACCGACATTTGATAAAGACTCAGGGCTGAATATCACCATCTGAGCAGGTCTAGGTGAAACCCTGTATAGGTAACCGTATTGCAATACGGAACTTCTGATAACATGGGTGTCCATATTAATCACTGGCTAAGATGTAAACATAGCTGTTAACCAGGTTAACAATGGTTAACTACTCATCATCTCAACAGCCAAAATTGATGACTATAACCACAAGACTTCTTTCAGTCCAGTGAGCTTAGTTAACAATGGTTAATGAAAGTCAACATGTCAAAACTAAAATCTAGTGAAATGAGATTTCTGTTGACAAAAATGTTTTTTTGTCACAGATTGCAAAAATATACAAACCTCTTCATTATACAATTTACTGAGCTCCTTTTTGATTGGATCAATTAGTTGGACTTGCCCGGCTGTGAAGCCAACTAATAGATACACACTCTCAGTAGTGACAAAATGTTGATTGAAATCATGGCAGGTGGGCAGGGTCCCCTTGTAGATCCTTTTGTCCAGAGGTTTTGTAAGGTCAGCAGCCTGTAATACATAATTTTATTCATATTGCAGTCTTAATCATGTTTATGTCAGAATAGGTTGCAACAATGTTCAAAATCTAGCCAGGTTCTGGGGTCCTTAAAGTCTTCTTCCATAGAGTTTGAATCTTGGGATCCCTATATCTTAAAAATTCAACACTTGGGTTATGGGAGTGACCCCTTGACTTTCATGCTTCATTTTGAACACTGCAATACATGCTTGCTCAGTGTTCTAAATTAGTCACTCTCATAACCCCAATGATAAATTGCAATACTTAGGGAGGCCTAGATTCGAATACTACAGGGCAGGCTTCATGGACACTAGGACCCCTTCATTTCGAATACTGCTTATGACTACAGTACTAGTTAATGTGTATACGATCACACATTTCTTTATTTATCGTTTCATGAGCCAACTGGCTGCCACCCCTAATGAAAAGCAGCTGGTCAAGAAAACAATTAAACATACAAATACATATCTTTATAATGTCTCCAGATATATAAAAACCCTCTTATATAGTAAAACATGTTACATATAAATTCCATGTCTACATCACCATGATCACTATCAGTGATTAAGAGGCCACTATCAGTTTTATCTCTACGACAGAATGACTTTTATATGAATGACATAGCTATTCATTTTTTATTTCAACCGACATTGTGTGGAAAAGCTGGATTGAATCTGTGAAGTATAAAATGTAAAAAGCGTGGCCTTACAAGGAAAAGGGTCCAAGCAGGAACTACTCTGACTGAGAAGGAATATGAAATACCCAATGCCGCAGTCAGATTGTATTGAACTAACCAGCTAAAAAATTCAGCCATGCCATAACCACTATGATGTCAACGAGAACTTCAACTGCACAATTTTTACACAAATCCTAAAAACATTTTCATAACCAGTCAGTGATATGCAAAAGGGCTGGGACGGGTAACTCGGGTACTCGGGTTGGATGGGTACTGAGTAGGACCTGGGTACCCACAGAACTACCTGGACCCGTGGTTAGTCTCGTGATTATCTTGTTTGATGGCAAAAAAATATTTAGAACTCTATGGTTACACTATAAGCATGATAAGTGACAAATTTCTTTCTGACTATACACACATTCCTTCTGACTTTATATGTTTGCACAATGATATAACTTCAGTCAACTTCAGTGTATGCATGACCAGATCGGATTATACGTGTATCTAAATTTATTTTGACAAGAGTACAGTCAAACGTTTCCCCAAACAGACATTTTGTACCTCTCTTGGGACCTACAGCAGGTACCCGGGGAGGGTCGGGTAATAGGGGGTTGGGTACAGAGGTAGTAAATTTGGACTTGTACCAGCCCTAATATGCAAGCACAGAAAATAAAACAAGTTCTGATTTTAATGCTTAATTATTGTTTTCTATTGTATGTAGTACACACATTTATGGATTGTGTTCTGTTAATTCAAAGTATGGGTGCATCAACATCAGGGGTGTAACTAAATGTTTGGCACATCGAGATACTCATTGTATCATCAGGTCATGTACCGATACAAAACAATACACATAAATGTATGGGCAACATGTAAAAATTATGAAATTATGAAATTAATTGTAATGTGCTATCTTCTGCCAGTACAAGGGGTCTTGTCTTCTTCAAACATTAACTCAAATGTATCAAATATGTCTTGGTTGGACTACCAGCCACTAGCTTTAGCATTAAAGTCCAGTGGTCCTGATCGTAACCAAAATAGTAAAGATTTAAGGAGTCCCTAGACATTCATAGTAAGTGTGTGTGGTTTTATGCCGCTTTTAGCAATATTCCAGTATATCACAGTGGGGACACCAGGGCCCTCCTGCACAAAGTGAACTTACTGCTACGACTATTGTAAGCCTATGTTTAAGTAAGGGAGTTACGATCATCTTAGCACTAAGATAGCTATATGCAAGTGGGCCCTGAAATGGGCTTCAAATGTTGTACCATTGTGGGGAATTGAACCCTTGCCTTCAGCATGACAAACAAATGCATTAACCACTAGACTACCCCACTGCTCCTTAGACATTCCTATATATATTGACAGCAAAACCTCCATGACCCCAGATCCCCATTATTTTTCAACACTTGGCTATGTCTCATGCCCTTTTCCAAGCATGGCAAGTGTTTAGTTGTCATGTATGGTAGCATGTATCATATAGCAATCTTACTATTGAGACATATATCACAACCTGTATCAGTATCATGTTTATAGCCCTATCAACAAATTATATAAAAGTATAGGTAAGAGAGACAACAGAAATATTTCATTGAGAGAATTTGAAAATTTACATTACAAGTGAACATATGATCATAAATTAAACCTCAAAACACCTCATCACAGAGTTCTTTATCTAAGAACATTAAGAAACTGTGTTTCACATGTTCTCGTTATTGAATTTAATTAAGTCTATTAGCATGGTTAGTATTAGTGGACAATTGTATCTTTCTACAACTATATTCTACCTTGCTTCAGTTACATTGTGAACATAATGAAGACTTTACTTAAACTAAACCCAGATTATAAACTTTCGTTGAAGACATAAGAGGTGGTACATATAAACTACACACTCACAAGAAAGTAACAGTCACTGATGTGGAAATAAAAAAAAATTTAAACTGACTGAAGTTAGTACTTAGTACTAAGTAATTTTCACATGATGTAGAAGATTGTACCAAAGTGTAGTTATCACATTTCTAATAGGCATTACCATGGTTATCCATGCATATCAGCTGTACATACCCAGGGAAAACATTACATTTGCCTAATACTCCAACACCCATGAAGATCCGGGGTAGAATAGGTCTTCAGCAACCCATGCTTGCCGTAAAAGGCGACTATGCTTGTTGTAAGAGGCGACTAACGGGATTGGGTGCTCAGGCTCGCTGACTTGGTTGCTGCATGTCATCGGTCCCAATTGCGTGGATCAATGCTCATGATGTCAATCACTGGATTGTCTGTTCCAGACTCAATTATTTACAGACCGCCATCATACAGCTGGAATATTGCTGAGTGCAGCATTAAACAACAAACCAACCAACCGTACTTTACAAATGATTCAATCAAAATATTCATCCACACATAATGATGCATTATTGTTTTATATCACGAAGTAAGGATTGCATAAACTCAGTTGGTCACTTCAGCCACCAGTGAAACTACTCAAGAACAGTACACTAAGGTAATAAAATATCTTCATTATCATAACTTACTGAAAATTAAGCAAAAGATAAAATCGAGTGAGTAGATTTTGGCTTTTGAAAACTATAATTATGATCATTGTTTCCATTTTCATAAGTAAATGTATTAAAACTGATATCAGACAACTTTGTTAAAAAATAGTGTTCGGACTGCAATATCACAAGTTTATGACGGACTACATCTGAGACAATTTGCAGTCCTAGCAAGTTTGATAAATGTCATTAATACATCTGCAAAACCAAATTCTGTTCTGATGTTGATCAATCTAGTAATAAATCATTTCCCAAATCAGATCAACACAATGTCTCACACCCAATGCACAAATTACAGCGACTAGACATATACTGGGCTCAAGGTGTTGAGCATTTCACACTTAATATAAGCAAGATGGGACAATAGGACACATTTTTACTAGGCTAGTTAACCTGTTCTAAACAAATCCTAGTTTATATTGTCAATTTTGCAAACAATATTGAGAAAAGCCCAATACAAAACTAGTAGGCCTATGATCATCATAATAGTTTTTAAAATTAAATAATCTAGAGTGATGAAAGGCCTTTTGAAAGGAATCAAAATCACTGAATATGCTTCTGATATAACAGCAGGTAGATCTAATGCTTCGTATATATATAACTGCACCAAATGTCACTTCCTGTTCCGGTTGCAAATATTCACCGTTTCGCAATGAACTGTATTGATAAGATTATACGCAGAGTTAAATTCGTCATATAAAATGCCATATGTAATGTATAAAAGTGGTTCAATGTTAATAATAATATTGCACGAGATGTTAGCTCCTCACAAAAGATGGAGGAAGCAGAAATTTGGATGATTAGTCGTTGGGTGTGACGAACAGAAGCATGAAATATCACGTCATTCCCTTCGACACGATCCCACTGAAGCTCATAAGTTTGGTTTGCCAAGCGAGAGAATGGTCAATAATAACTATTAGGCTGTTCAGATATGTTGTCAGCCTCTGCATACGTCATTGATAGGACTCACCTTTCTAACACCCTTGTAAACATAAACGTATAACTCCCTCCCAACATTAAAACAGATCCGATCGGGGGAGCCCGACCCGTCGTTGACATTCACAAATGACACTTTAACTGGTGTGTTAGTCTGTCCATTATATGCCACACGTGAAGGTTTCGAATATTCTGACAATGGCATTAATTTGTACGTGCCCTCTCTGGTGGCAAAGTGGGTTTTTAACTCATCTCTGCCACCTCCCTCACTCTGTGCCGCCATGTTGGGACAAACTCCTGACACTACTTGCAGGTGCCCGGATATGCCAGTCAGAGCGCATGCTCATATAATAGCTTCCTTATTGTTCAAAACAAATACACGTGGTTTTCAATGACTCTGTGACGTTGTGACAGCAACACGTTGACGCATTGCAATAGATGATTACAGAGAATTATCCCCAATAGACTCATGAACAATATGTTTAGTCTTTTTCTATCAAATCTGTACGGAAAATATGACAAAAAGAGTGCAGTGTTGTCTCCAATCGAGAATAGGAAGTCCACGGTAGAAAAAAAAACGTAGTCGGGTGATCACAATGTGAAATTGAGTTCAGATTAGCCATATGGGCAATATCAAGCTTGTCCCAGTTTGCGCACAGAAGCTGATTGACAGCTGATCGCCAGTTAATGACTAACATTTTTCAGCAATAAAACTGTACACTCAGTAAACTCCAGGTTCGGACATATAATAGCTAGGCTCGGACAAATAGTGGCAGTCCGTGCAAGATGGGATTCCAATGTTTCAATATCCACTTTTCAAACTGTATGATGTATATCAATCTTGCAGTTAAATACTACCTTAAGTACATAGAGACGACGGCACTGACGACAACGTAACACGGCCATGCATATATAGTCACTCTGTCACATGTAGATAAAACATCACAATCGTGAAGACTGCCAAAATGACACGATAAATGTATGTAATGTGTAATAGCGTATGCATTCCTATGACGAATTGACTATTTGAATGCATATATATGTTGAATGTATGCGTTCCCGTGCTCAAAACTCAATTATGATGTTTATCGCAAGCAAAATGGATATTTCTTGAAAAGTGCAGTGTAAGTAATATTCCTTATCGACGGAATGGCTTGTTTTCACCTTATAAGTAATAGTGCACATGCGGCTATCTTCAAATTATAGTATCACCATGATGCTTCGTGATTCTATTTCAAGTGGCTAGGACTGATATGGAGTGAATTTGATTAGTTTAAAAGGACACCATCGGTATATAGTCTCTGGTATAACGCACCGATTTCAACAGTATATTCACAGGAATAGTCGCGGCACCTTTATTTACATTTATGACATGTAATGTGTATAATAGACTAACATCTAGTCTCTGAAATGAACATATCGTACAGAAAAAAACAGTTGTTCGGTTATCTTAATAAAAATATAATAAAAGGGAGCCCAGTGACTCTCTACATTCCTGATGCTGCAGTAATCTAGACTTGCCAAACATTTTAGACTTGCATGGGCTTTATTTGATATATATTTGTATCAGGATCTGTAAGACAGACTATGTGTATAAGTACAAGCTGCACTGACTCAGCTGGTGGAAAGAGAGGTGAGGAGAAATGGGGTTTTACGTCGCGTTCAAGATTATTACACTTATATAGCAACGTGCAAGGCACGTATGTTTGTTTGACTGCTTGTACTCGTCCGGACTAATGCCGATTTTATAGTGCTAACCCACTGAAATACCATGACGCAGTTTAACATGAATATCCCTCTCAGGGATATTCTATACAGACTCCGAACCGACCAGACCTTGCTTTAACCTTTTAATGCCGAGCGCCAGGCAGGGTAACAACAAGTGCCATTTTTAACGTATTTTGGTATGACACAGCCTGGGATCGAACCCACGACCTTCCGCTCTCCGGGCAGACACTCTATTCACTAGACCACGGTGGCGGTCTGGTCGTAAGAGAAATTGATCGTGTGGTCAGGATGGGTGATTTAAATTGGTTGATGATCGTACCCCGACGAAACGATTATTTACCTCAGATAATTGAGGACGAGGACAAACCCTGAAACCAAGATACCAAAATTCTTTGGGAAGTAGCTTTCTTCACTGTCTGAAAGCCAAGATATTCTCTGGGATCCTTTCTATTCTATTTTATATTTAACAATACTTTATTTTCATTTCGGACACTAAATGTTTGTCTAGTATAAATATGCCCTGGGGACCTTTTCTGCGCTGCATTTTTGTCATGATCTGTTTTACCGGCATGCGTTTGAAAAAAACATCATTCGGTTTACGTGATGTTCATTCCATAATAGGTTTGCTTTTCAGTTCTTGTTTTTGGGCCTTGTTATGTTATTGTTGTAAAGAAAACTCCCTGGCCTATTTATACTATACAATACCGACACACAATGATAACGAATGATCCACTTTAACTCGCAATCAGAAAAGATGTGTTTTTGTGCTCAAGTCCATCTCTAAATACATCTTACGACGTCATTGTTGTGTTTGATTATCACATGCCTAAATATCCAGAACAACTTAATTTGATTTTTGTGGCAATTTTACTTTTACTGAAAATCGTATAAACGTTTTCAAAGTGCTTTAGTGTAAATACGCCGTGAAGATCCGGGGTAGAATAGACTATGCTTGTCGTAAGAGGCGACTAACGGGATCGGGTGCTCAGGCTCGCTGACTTGGTTCATACATGTCATCGTGTCCCAATATCGTGGATCGATGCTCATGATGTCAATCACTGGATTGTGTGGTCCAGACTCGATTATTTACAGACCGCCGTCATAAAGCTGGAATATTGCTGAGTGCGGCGTTAATCAATAAACAAACAAACAGTGTAAATGCGCCTTCGGCTTTAGATACACGACGAATACCTTCGTTCTTTTGAATTATTTAAGCAAAGCGTTTCTGTTATCTGTATTGTTTGTCTAGCTACTGAAGGGCATATGAAGATATCTGACCAAGGCATTGTGAAACAATGACTTAAATTATTAACACCCACATTAACTTGCCCTTGAATACTTGCAATGTCATGAAATCCCAACATACACTCGTGGGTGGGCATACGTTTTCTAAGGGTGGAGAAACGGAGCGTGTAGTAGTCTCTTTCCTTGGCCATGTGTACGAAGACACATAGACGATTTGATAACAGAAGGCAACAGATTTCTTTAACGTCCCTCACATACAACACACGTCGTTAATCATTCAGACAGCCGCTTTACATTAAACTATTTCGCTTATCTGCCACGACGCATATAGTGATTCATAACCCACATATGCTGCATACGTAAGACCACGTTGAGCAGCAGCAAATTTTATAAAACATTTGAAGCCATTGTGAATATTGTTGACAGTAAAAACTCGTTCGTCCACATCCTGTCGATACGGAAGCACCGCCATCCAGACGGACACTGTTGGAGACGTCACTAAATGTTTTATGATGAAAACGACATTACAGTCTACGTATATAACCAAGAGTGGTTTATCCGGAATTATGTTAGTCCAAGTGATTTCACTGGGAGCCGTTCTGTCCGGATCAACGAGGCTAAACTGAAACCACGCTTCGTTCTTCATTGTTCTTTGTGATGTATCGCGTAGCTGTTTTACATATGTTAATATTGGGCACACATATAAATGTAACGGAATGAAAATAAAATCACGAGGATCCGTGGACATGCAACGTAATAAAAGAAATAGAACAATTCGATAAGACGAAGTGTAAGGAGCTTAGTTTTGTTTCTTTGGTGTTTAACGCCGCTCTCAGCAATAGTCCAGCTATATGATGGCGGTCTGTAAATAATCCAGTCTGGACCAGACAATCCAATAACTGCCATCATGAGCATCGATCCACGCATTAGAGATACGAGGACATGCATAAACGAAATCAGCAAGCCTGACCACCCGATCTCGTTAGTCACCTCTTACGACAAGCACTGGGTTTCTGAAGACCAATTCTAACCCGGATGTTAACGGGCCAGGGTCATATTATTAAGAGTCACTACCTATTAAATACTGTTTGTACGTTCTTTTGTATTGGTCTATAAATAAAGATGGTGACACGAAATATAAATTGTTAAACGATATTACGTGAAAACGAAGTGAATATTTTGAAAAGCAATATCACATAATTAACGGAGGGTACAGTATAAGTTTAGAAATATATACCCAGATGACACATGTCAGCTTTATGTCAACCATAGAATATTGAAATCGAATTTGACATTGTGGATTGGGTGGTGTTTTAATGCAGAGGTGATCTGTCTCTATTTTGTTATGATGACATGACGTAACGCTTGACATTAACTGAAAAAAAATCAAACATAAATCAACAAAAACAATACTTTGAAACAATGTTGCTAAAACATGAAATATTGTTTTCAAGGTTAAGCAGTCAGTGCATGGTTTCTCCTGCAACCCAGCTCAGGAACCGGTATGAAAGATTAAATCATTTTACCCAAGAGAAATATCAATTGATTCAAATAAATCTTTTCGAAATGTTCTAAAATTAACCATATTGATGCTTTAAGCGCATGCAGAAAGTATGTAGAACGTTGACCATATTAAACGCGGCAACATTATCTCAGACGACCAGTGTTGATTTGCGTTAAAAATAACATCGATTTCACCATCGGTAGATTTTACTGACCCCTCTCTCAATATTCACAGCTGTGGTTTGTCAAAACGCGGCTGAAGTTTTCATGCTAAAACGTATGCTTATATTTTCCAAGCAAGTTACGACGATTATACAATAGCAAAAAGGTATACTTTCTGGAGATTTTTATTTCCTATTGTGAAAACTTATTTTCAGTGAGCTAAGCGTCGTGAGACGGTGTCTTGTTTTGACTGACCTCTCGGACATTGCGTTATTTGAAACTATCTATTTTATGATATTCGTAATCAATTTATCTTATTTATGTTTTACCTTCGCTTTAAAGGTTTGTAAACAATAAAACACAAACAGCCTTAGATAATCAAGTCTATTTCAAATTATTTTTCGTCTGTGAATTTTATTTAATCGTAGTTTAAATATTTATTTATGTTGACAGAAATACTTAGTTTTCAATATTAAATGGTGAGTCATATATTAAATTTATATTGTGCGTGCTAATCACAAACTTGATAAACAATATTCGATCATGTGTCTCTATGGTATACACACAATTTACTTGTATTTGTCTATATATTGATAATGCAAGAAAGTTGAAACGTAGGTATTATTTTGTTAATTTATGTGTTTCCATTAGACCCTATAAGGGATACAAAATGAGAACATAATTTGGTGCGATTATAGAATCTGTTCACCACCCTATAGTATCATAAAAACAAGATTACAAGAAATAGTATTTAGTATCACTTCACTGATTTCGCTTAGTTCTTCGATCCTTAGTGTTAGTTGTGTAAGGGCTGTGGAAGGTTACCCCCACACTCTAACCTTGAATGGAAATAGTGGCAAACATATTCTATACCGGCTCTCATAATTGTGTCTCTGAATTGCATGGAATGAAAACGACACCGTCCTAAATATGTGAACCTCTTAAATCAAACGCCATTATAACTCGAAACAGTGACCTAATGCTGTTGATAGTGCGGGCATGTATCATTTATTGGATTAAACTAATTTTATTTTCAATACTAAATAAATCACGTCATAGATCTAGATCACATTAATATATTAGTTCAAATGGAAACAATATTTTCCGTTCTTATTTGTTGTATATCGACTTATGCTTTTATTGACGACACGACTTATGTTCATCTAAATATGTCATATATTAGTGCAAAGATTTGTGAAATTTAGAATAATATATTATTAAAAATACTGCAAAGTTGATGAGAACACGCAAGTTTTCGTTCAATGACTTATCACATGTTTACCGGCAGTTATATGACAAGCACTGATGTGAGATATGAAATTCTTATTTGATAAGTTGGATTTATTTTGCTATTTCCGAAACTGTTAGTTCTTCCCGGTGACATAATTTTAAGGTGACAATCGGCCTACATATAGTTTCGCTGAACGACCTTCACCTGCCACGTTCCATAACTGTGGCATTATGGGAAAGCAATATGGCGACAGATTGTGACTTCCGATGCATATTTCATCGATACACCGGTATATGAAGGCGATAGGACGCCTTACAGATTGTTATAGAATTGTTGATGTAATTTTTTAGTCAAGCAAAGACAATGTCCACAAAGCATGAAGTTCAAAAGGCTCAAGTTTCTTGGAAGAAATGTGTTTTCTGTCGTGAAGCGATTGTTTTCAAATCACCCCGAGAATTTTGTCAACACCTTCGTGATTTCCATTGCTCCAAAGAGGGAGGGTCGTATGTGTGCCGTTACGGAATGAATGGCGTATGTCCTTCGCTTCCTTTGGAGGGTGTAAGTGACAGAGACTATGAGGATCACGTCGCCAGAGATCATGTTTATAGTGGGGACACAGGTAATGTCAGCTGATCTAATCGAGTGACTTGATGTGTCAGTCTTCATAATAAATAACTTTCATGTCATCATCAGTGACACGATCGTTTTAGTCCAGTTTATTTTAGACCTGCTTCAGTATAAAAAAAACCAAATCCATTAATAATGTATTTGTATAGAATTTCATTACAACCATTGTCAAGGAGTAAATATGTAGATCTAATTAAGAAAAACGAATAATCTGCTTATAGGCTTAGTTCCATGGCAATATTTCATTGGGTGCAGGCTAATATGGCACATGAGCATAACGTCACCAATTTATCAGGCAAAACGACTACTGTTGTTTGAGCGAAAATAAGACGATTTATGTATTCATATATGTTATATTCTTTTGTAACATCATTGATATTTATGCTTATTTTTGTCATCTATTGAGTCTTTTTCAAGCTCCACAAGTATCATAGTCATCTTTGTCATCTATCATCGTCACATAGATGTCGTATTCCATGGCAGTTAAGAACACTTTGTAAGCAACTGTGCGAGGGAAAGGTCACAATCTTTAAAGCCCAACCAAAAGTTGAAGTTTTCTCATCCTGTCCGCATCTTCAGATTGTAAACTTACATCAAAGTTCATGTTATCAAACACCTCTGCTATCATGGGGCCAATAGGGGCGGTCGGGTAGCCTAGTGGTTAAAGCGTTCGCTTGTCACGCTGAAGACCCGGGTTCGATTCCCGACATGGGTACAATGTGTGAAGCCCATTTCTGGTGTTCCCCGCCATGATATTGCTGGAATATTGCTAAAAGCGGCGTAAAACCATACTCACTCACTCATGGGGCATTTTACACAACAGAAGGGGGAGTCTTCTTTGCTCCTGGTGTTCCTATTCCTAGCTGTAGAAAGTGACACAAACACAATGGGTCCACTGGTCACATTCCTCACAGGAGACAGCATGTTGATCCTTCTGACTGTCTTCTTGCAGGGTTGTCCCATGTAGCCGATTTCTGTGATATGCCAACAGATAATCCGTATGTTGTGATTAGCATGTGCTTCTTTCATGTACCAACTATATAGTAGTCTGAGTTAACGATAACCCCCTGGATTGATATATAAGTGAAATACCATTTATTAGTTATCGGTTAGGTGTGAGAAGGCATCAAGGTACTTGACTGCCAATTTCTACCCAGCATGACATTGTCGTCTACCACCTGCCCAGAGATGAAAACTAGTGACTTCAACAGAATTTTTGTTTGTTTTTATAAAGTGTGTGATCTTGATGTTTGGAATCAACAATTTGGTAGCTCAGTTTTCAGACCCACCCCTTAGTTGATTGCTATCATGTTTTCTGCCCCAAATATTTTTCCACACACACTTTGATTATTGTAGAAACTGTTGATCTGCACTTTGTAACCAACCTATAATTGATATTAATTGTGCATATAAATATCATTATTTCAAATGCCTGCCACCAATAATTGAAAAATAAGTACTTTTCTGTAATTATTAGCCTCCATGGTGATGCAGATGTCAAGTCAGCTGTTTCCAGTCAGATGCTGTTATCATGGATATTGTAATTTAAAAACATCTGATGATTCTAAAAATCTTATCCAAATTGATGGTAGAGTGTAAATAAAGTACCATTTAGTCATGCTATTAAATATGACAATGAAAAATACTAATTCCATCAATAACAATGGCGGTTTAAAGTGTATCACAATATTTTACTGTGCACAAGGCCATATTGTGATAAATATTATGTATACTAAATCACAATACTAAATTTTGAATTCAGAATTAATTTGAAACACCAGTTTATGAATAGAAGTTCATAAATGGATCAAAACAAGATGCTGGTACAACATAATGTTTCCTCATTCAATAAATATGACGTTCCCGATGTAAACTCCAGGTATTTGCAAGTATATACATGATAATCAGTGGTAGAAATTGGCGCTAGTCCTGTAGTCCTTGCCCAATAGTTAAGGTATCAAAAGGACAAGTAGAAACTCGCCATTTTTATGGGTTTTGCTATATGTTATCATTATAAGGACTAGTGGACTAAAACTGTTAGTTTCTACTGCTGATAATAATTTGAAATAACCTGATGTACTGACCTTTAAAAAAATGATATTGTCATAGGTATCATGGAAAGAGAGAACCGGTAATACCACACACACTTATCAATAATTCTTATTTTGCACAAATTGACACATGTATCAGTAACTTACACTTAACATGCTTTCAGGTAAACATGGTAAAGTGATATAATTAATCAGTTAGCATTGCAAGTGAGGAATCACTTTACAAGTAGAAGCTATATACATGATATGTACACCGTGTACATGATGCAACATGATTTGATAAACTTGCAGATTATATAACATGCATGATTAAGTACTGTGCTGTTACTTACATCTTCCCGAGGCAAGTGAGTTAACTGACAATAAAAGTCCAGTTTCCACCCATGCCGAACTAGGGTGGTATTATGGAGTTAGAATTTGGCTGGACTAACAAGTCTATGCATAGTCCAATCAAAATCGCGCAATGAAATCGAAATTCGGTTTGTATACTGTTATGCAGATTTAGATGCAGGATTTGCAAAGCATGTGCACCGCCTACTTGTTGTCAACAGATATTTTCAAAGTCTTTTCATGTTTTTAATCAAAGTGCTCACATGATTTGATGCATTTCGCGCTGTAAGACTCGTTTTATCACAATATAGATCTTGATTATCGAGCAGATCATCCTGACTTGATGCTGCTATTTTGTTTGAATCAAATGCAAGTGATACGAGAGGTGGAATCTGATTGGTCCATAGGAGAGGCTTAGAAGGGACATAACTGGTAATAGCAACTGGTGGCGCTACGATCGAGCCCAGGAATTCCAGCCTAGTTCGACAAGGGTGGAAACTGGACTTTTAGAGTCAGTTAACTCTCTTGCCTCGAGAAGATGTGTTTAGCGTTGTGTCATTGGAAACAGACTCAAAACGGAGCTGTGTTAACAAATGGGTCCTGTGGATTCTCATTATAATTGAATAAAGATATAATACACTGTTTCTGTGGTCTAGTGGATAAAGTGTCTGCCCGATGGTTCAATGCCCTGGCCGCGTCATACCAAAATACATTAAAATATTGGGAATCCGGGTTACAATAGGTCTCCAGCAGCCCATACTGGTGGTAAGAGGTGACTAAATTGATCGGGTGGTCTGGCGTTATGGCATGGTTGATCTTGTGTCATTTTATCCAGATGGTGTGGATTGATGCTAGTGATATCAACCACTGTATTGTCTGGATCAGACTTGATTATTTACAGGCCTCCATCACACAGCTTGAACAGTGTGGTGTTGAACATGCACACTTCATGTATAAGTTGTGACAGCTAACAAATATTAACAAATAATTACATGCAAGACAATAAACCTGGCCTAGAATAGCAATTTCAAAAGCTTGTATATACAACAGCTGTGGCAGCTGCAGGCATAAGTATTCACAGCAGGCTGTCATTATGGATGAAAATTTTGTCCTCAACAGTTGTTACAGAAGACACTGTTGGGTCATGCAAAGTCTTTATCTTGTTTTCAGATAGCTTGGGTACATGTATTTTTAACAGAACTTTTTCCGAAATAGAAATTTAGGAAACGGTATAATGTCACATGAATTCATAGTAGTAAATGATCAAACAAGTGATTACATCATCCAAAAAAGAGTAGTTGTTTTTGTCTTGTTTAAATGCAGACCTGGTGCATCCCATCTTCCCGAGGCAAGGGAGTTAACTGACTCTAAAAGTCCAGTTTCCACCCTTGCCGAACTAGGTTCTGGTTTCGATCATAGCGCCACCAGTGGCTATTACAAGTAATGTCCCTTCTATGTCCCTCCTATTGACCAGTCAGATTCCACCTCTCATATCACTTGCATTTGCTTTTAACAAAATGGCAGTGCCGAGTGAAGATGAGAGGGTTGATAATCAAGATCTATATTGTTACAAAACAGGTCTTACTTCGAGAAGTGCATCAAATCAAGTGAGCACCTTGATTAAAAAACATGAAAAGATTTGCAAAATATGCAACGACGCTAAGTTGACGGTACACATGCAATCAACCAAAATCTGCACGGCAGTTTACGATGCATAGTTGATAGGACTATGCATGGACTCGTTAGTCCAGCCAAACTATAACTCCATAATTCCAGCCTAGTTCGGCAAGGATGGAAACTGGACTTTAATCATGTTTATGGTCAGTTATTTCTCTTGCCTTGGGAAGATGTCTGCCTACTGAGGCATCAATGTTCTTTTGAACAAATGATCAAAAGCAGTTGTAAAACGAATAATGATTATTTTCAAAACTTGTGTATATAGTTGATATATGTCAGTAAAAATATTACCAATTTCCTTTTCAAGGAACATAGTTACATTTAATTAAAGAATGGCGATTCCGCGACAGAATTTTGTGAGGAAATACCCTTGTCACTCAGGCATGCTCGTCAGCCATTGGATAAAACAGTAACATGATTGATTGACACTTGACAGTGTTATGAAATATTTCAGTGAGTCATTGCATGACTCAGGGGCTCCTCCCCCACATGCACAATACCTCGCTGATATCGTATATACACGGTCTTATGTCATTATGTAACTATGACTCCATGCATATAATATTCTCCTAATCTTTGTCAGTGTACATAATGCAATGTGTTGCATGCAACAAATTGTATCCAACTAGTTGAACCATGTGAATGTTGCTTACGTGAAAAGTAAAGTGACCGGTTGATTATTTTATATTTTGAGAGGGTTATACCTTCTGTGGAATCCCGGAAGGAGTTTTTTGTAAGGAAGTGGAATACACACACTTTGGTTCTGAAAACTATTTCTATTTTCAGGTGCTCGGAATAAAAGTTTATCCAGCCAATCTCGACCCAGTTCCTCCTCCCCTCCGACCAGCACAGAGCCCAGTGTGGTGACTGACCAGTTCAAGTGGACAGTGTATAATGCAGTGGTCAATATGCCTGCTGTCCTCAATAACCCACGCCTGGCCAGGAGGGAGACTGACTTCTTTACAAAAACATGGGGACAGGAGTTTGAAAAACAAACGATCCTCCCATCACCATATATTCCAGAAATAACTGCAGAACATTTCGAGAAGTATGTTCACAGAACATCTGCTGTAAGTGATCATGCATTTCAGCATAAGATCATTTTACTACAATTATCACAATGCCAACATGAAGAGTTTATTGTTTCACTTCATGATGGGCAACTCTAAACATATTTATTGGTGTCCTTTCATCCATTGTGACGAGTGGCCCCAGTTGATGTGAGGAGAGGCCCCAGTTGATGTGAGGAGTGGCCCCAGTTGATGTGAGGAGTGGCCCCAGTTGATGTGAGGAGAGGCCCCAGTTGATGTGAGGAGTGGCCCCAGTTGATGTGATGAGTGGCCCAAGTTGATGTGAGGAGTGGCCCCAGTTGATGTGAGGAGTGGCCTCCGGTTGATGTGATGAGTGGCCCCAGTTGATGTGAGGAGTGGCCCCAGTTGATGTGATGAGTGGCCCCAGTTGATGTGAGGAGCGGCCCCAGTTGATGTGAGGAGTGTCCCCAGTTGATGTGATGAGTGTCCCCAGTTGATGTGATGAGTGGCCCCAGTTGATGTGATGAGTGGCCCCAGTTGATGTGAGGAGTGGCCCCAGTTGATGTGATGAGCGGCCCCAGTTGATGTGATGAGTGGCCCCAGTTGATGTGAGGAGTGGCCCCAGTTGATGTGAGGAGTGGCCCCAGTTGATGTGATAAGATGCCCCAGTTGATGTGACGAATGGCTAACAGTAGAATCACATCGACTTATCATTGAGCTGATGTATTGAACTGATGTATTTCTTTTCCTTTGAGGAGGCACGGGTGGCCCAGTCGTCGTGCCGCGATTCGCTGTGCAGAGTTGCATCCCTTGGGCATGCCAGAAACCTATGAAACCCCGATTATGTTTCTAGGTTTATCAGCACCATACCTGTGCTCTAGGGTGTCACCAAAGTGATAAACGTCTGAGACCTACATCACTTCGGGCTTGCCTCCCACATTAAGCTGACACGCTGCGATATAACTGGATTACTGTTAAAACCAGCATTAAACCCAACTCACTCACTCACTCGTTACTAACATTGTTTTGAATCTTCCAACAGAGACACAAGAAACATGTGCGAAACTCACTGAAACTGTCTGAGCCACCAGTACCAAGTCAACATGCATTCCCTTCCTTGAATCTGAAGCAATTAGGTAAGCATGTCATAAACCCCTTGGAGATTTCATGGTAGAATAGGTCCCCAGCAACCTATGCTGGTTGTGCAAGGTGACCAAATTGATTGGGGATGTCAGGCTTGGTGACTTAGTTGATTGTGTGTCGTAGCAATGGATCATTGCACACAATATCTGTCGCTGGATTGTCTGGTTCAGACTCAATTCTTTACGGGCCGCCCTCATATAGCTGGAAAATTGCTAGGTGTGGCGTAAAACAAGATACAAACAGTCAAATCCTCTATTTCCAGTGTGCAGTCAAAGCAGATTTTGAAGAATAGCTAGTGCAGTCTTGAAATGGACTTTATGATAGGTTGTTTAGTTCTTGATAAAAAAATTTGCAAAGGTCTACCAAAATCAAACACAAACTAAATCTTATACAGTAATCTAATGTGAAAGTGAACTGATTTATTTTTTGCAGAAAAGAACAGAGCTGAACTGGACCAGATACCAAAAGTAAGTGTATTTTGAATAACTCTCAGTGCACACTACCTTAGTCAGTGACTTAACCCTGTGGAGATTCCCCAGCAGCTATGCTTGTCATATGAGGCTACTAAATGTATCAGGTGGTCAGGCTTGGTGACTTGGTTGATTGTGTGTCATTGTTTAGTCGTACCCTGACAGCATCGGACATTGCTCATAATATCAATCACTTGATTATTTACAGGCCTCTGTCTTATGTCCATAATATTGCTGTGTGCAGAGTTAAACACATGTTAAAAACAAGCAAAGATTAGGTGTAAGTAAAATGTGAAAAAACATTTCTGATGTCCCCTGTCATGGTATTCCTGGAATATTGCTAAAAGTGGCATAAAAAACTCACTCACTCACTCTCTCACTTACTCACTCAAATGTGTATATATGTAGCTACTAGTGGGGCATAACACATGTTTGTTTGTTTTTTTTCAATATTTTAAATGTTGACCTTTATTTTTTCTCTGACCCTCGACCAAGCTTTGACCATGAAGTAGAATCTTCACATCCTTGTTCTTGCCACAAAGAAAACCCTATTTAAGTTTTTTTAGTCAGTTTGGTTCAACATTTAATGAAATTGGTAGATGGGTAGTGATTAGTGGGTCTCAATACAAATGTCTCGTTTAACACAATACTTTTAAATTTGACCTTGATTTACCCTTTGCACTTTGATAATGCTTCTGAATTGTATCAAAATACATATCCTCACACTGTCAACACAATCTCCTCAGAAACCACAGGGTAAAAGATGCTGGAACTTCTTATACTTGTCTCTTCAAATGATTATGGGGGCAGTCGAGTGGTTAAAGCGTTCTTCACACTGAAGACCCGTGTTCGATTCCCGACATGGGGACAATGTGTGAAGCCCATTTCTGGTGTTCCCCGCTGTGATATTGCTGGAATATTGCTAAAAGCGAGGTAAGACCATATTCACTCACTCACTCCAATGATTATGCCTGAGTTTGCTCAAGACATTCCAATCTGATTTTCAATATGGCCATCATGGCAGCCATATTGAAAATTCATTTTTAATCAGAATTTACTGAAATGTGGGAGATGTGTAGTCCATAGTAGGGCCCAAAACATATTTAGTTTTTCACAATTATTTAACATTTTGACCTTGATTTGACCTATGCACTTGGACCATACAGAAAACTGAAACTTCTTATGGCCATTATTCAGGCATTTTCTGTTAAAATATCATGAAATTTGGTATATACGTATATGTGTAGTTAGTAGTGGAACTATAGAAGTGTCTATTTTTGTTGACCCAAAAGTGAAGAGCACACATTGAATAATAATCCAAACAGCAGTACAACATATACTGTTCAAAAGATGTTAAGGACCACACGATTCTTTCATATTACTGTACTTAATCAGTTATGGCATGACAGATTAACTATAGAAATATGAAAGAATCAGGTGGTCGCTACCTTTTTTGAGTAGTATTTGACCTTTTAACAGGGTTAGAACATAACTCTAGTCTGCCAGGCCTGGGCTTGTACAAATTTCCCTATTGTTTTAACATTACAAGGGCATTTTACCTTTACCCAGGGTAGTAAAGCTTTTCAGTCTAACCTTGTAGTCATATGAAAGAATTGGGTGTTCTCTAAACTTTTTATGAGTAGTATATTTGAAGGTTTTAAAAATAGATAAAAATCTACCTTTCTACTCTATTTGGAAATGTAATCGGCACTAAAATATACTTTTTAGGCCTTTATTGTATATTTTGCCTTCCATTCCTGAGCTATGTTGTGAGCTAGCACAAACTGATCAATTATGTTCAGTTGACGGTGTTGGCAGTTCAAGGGACTGCGCCACAAGTGTCTACTTTTTCCGAAGTTTTCCTCATCTAACTCATTCCAACCTTTTCATTCCAAATACCATGTAAATTGTAATATGATCACAAACATGCACAGCCGTACTTTGAAATAAAAATATTTAATAATTGCACATGCCACTACAACTTATCAATATTAGTTTCATGGATGAGTAAATATTGTATATTTTGCGTTGATAAAGCAGATCTGCTCAGGAGTTTTCATGCATTCATTTGCTGTCTGGTAAATTATGTCTAATGAGTATTGTGAGGGTCCTGATGTGTGATACTGACTGGCGTAAAACAATCTTACTGCTTACTCACTGAAGGTCTTCAGTCTTACTGCCTACTGATTTATGGCCCTCATTCTAACTGCCTACTGATTTATGGCCCTCATTCTAACTGCCTACTGGTTTATGGCCCTCATTCTAACTGCCTACTGCTTTATGGCCCTCATTCTAACTGCCTACTGATTTATGGCCCTCATTCTAACTGCCTACTGGCCCTCATTCTAACTGCCTACTGATTTATGGCCCTCATTCTAACTGCCTACTGATTTATGGCCCTCATTCTAACTGCCTACTGATTTTTGGCCCTCATTCTGACTGCCTTCTGATTTATGGCCCTCATTCTAACTGCCAAATGAATTAAGGCCCTCATTCTAACTGCCTACTGGTCCTCATTCTAACTGCCTACTGAATTACGGCCCTCATTCTAACTGCCTTCAGATTTATGGTCCTCATTCTAACTGCCAACTGAATTAAGGCCCTCATTCTAACTGCCTACTAAATTACGGCCTTCATTCTAACTGCCTACTGATTTATGGCCCTCATTCTAACTGCCTACTGAATTAAGGCCTTCATTCTTTTCCCTCTATCCTTTTCACTAATGACCACCCCCATGGGGACACTGTCCATTCTATAATGATCAATACCCTGTTCTTCTAATTTGTATAAACTCCTTTTTTATATATTTTTATGTTGGGGTGACTTCACATTCTCCGACAAGTTCTGGGTGGGTTTGACTAGGCAGCACTTCTTGGGAGAAGTCCCATTCAGTGTCTGGGCTGCGTGTAGAGGGGGCAAGGGCCCTGAGCTGATGAAGAACCCAACCAGTCTGACTGCCAGGATCACCCAAACCCTTTTTGCTGCATTTTTAATTTTAATCTGTAAATTATAATAATAATAATAATAATAATAGCTTAGTCTTTTTTTCAAGTGGAATTGATAAGAACATCTTGTAAAAAAATATAATTTACCCACCAAACAACTCTTCTTTTTTAAAATTCATGTAATTGGAGCCAAAATAATGATTCCTTTTCATGTAAGACCTATAATCCACTGAAGAATTGGAAAAATGTCATGTGACTAATCCGTACTTACATGGTTCAATACTATGAACAGCTCTTTTCAATTTATGGTAAGGCAACACATCAATGCCACCTGGTGAACATTTCATAACTTAATGCTGTCATTGACAGACAACAGGTGGTACATTTCCTGCAATTCAATATAGCTGTTGCGTAGTGGTTTTTAACTGCTGTTTCCACGTGGCCATCTTTGTAACTGCTGAAAAAAGGAAAACAAAGCATGTTCCATATATTTGGAAATTGTCTGTCTGTCTGTCTGTCAGTCAGTCAGTCAGTACATTTTTCACATTTCACCACCTAAGAAACTGTTATATATTATGGATGACCACAGCGATGGTGTTTCTGAAAGTGCTAACAAAATTCTGACCTGAGTTTAACATTGCCGCAGTGTCAGACATGTTAAAAATGTCATTAAAAGTTTCTTCCATTTTTGCAAGAATCATTATGAAGTTTTATATGCAGTTTGTATGTACATGATGTAGTATGGGAATAGCATTACCCATGTTTATGGGTGTATAGCAAGTTTGAACTCTGCTAGGGCATTTGACATTCACATATGCCTGTTGATGTAAATAGTGGTATGTGGACATCTTTACTGAAACACCAGGATTTAAGGAGCTAAAATTGTATGTATTTGATACCAGCAATAAGTACTATCCAAAGAATTCTGATTTGATTTTAAACATGCTGCCATGACATACATAACTGTTACCATTACTCATCCAGTTGTACTTATATCCTTGTGGTGGCGGTGGGGTAGCCTAGTGGTTAAAGCGTTCGCTCGGGTTCGAGTCCCCACATGGGTACAATGTGTGAAACTCATTTCTGGTGTCTCCCGTCGTGATATTTCTGGAATATTGCTAAAAGCAACATAAAACCATACTCACTGACTCACTCACTCACTCTTTAACTCACTCACTCACTCACTCACTCTTTAACTCACTCACTCACTCACTCACTCACTCACTCACTCACTCACTCATAGCCTTGTGAAATATGCAATGCAGAACATGTATGGAAAGCAAAATAGGACTGAATAACATTTTTGTATTTGCTATGGGGTTTGGTATAGTCCCATCAAGCCATGGACATTTGCAAGACATTGATAATCCGAACAGTCATTACATTAATTTTGTGTGTGTCTGTACAAAAATATATTTTATTCATTGACATGTTCCAAAACCTACCATGATTTTATTCAGCTTAATAAAAATTAAACTGGTTTCTCCACAACATGCACAAGTAGATTTAAACACCATTGTTCTTGAAACATGTTTCACATAAAAGTTACAGATCAGTTGTAAAGATCTATTTTTGCTATTGGTTTTCATTTTAAATGTACTTTTTTCCAGTTGTTTATGTTGCCAAATTTTTCACTGGAAAACATGGATACCTTCAGTGCTGTGTTTCCATGGACACAAGTGGAAGAGTCCATGTCTGGGGCAGGGGGGACCAAGCAGTCATCTAAACTTTTGCAAGAAAGGGTGAGTTTGGTTTGATCTTTGTTCTTGCATGTTCCATTTTGTGAGACATGCAACCAGTCTGTGCCAGGTGACCTAGATGATTGTGTGTTCATACAGTCATCCACTGGATTGCCTGGACCAGAGTACATTTTTACCAGTTGTTGTTACATGTTGCTAAACATGGGTTAGAATGGGTGGGTCCCAAGCACTCTGTGACTTGTTGTAAGAGGTGACCAATTTGAAACAGGTGGTCAGACTGACTGTGTGACCGCCTCCGTGGTCCAGTGGTAGACTGTCCGCCCGGAGAGCGGAAGGTCCGGGGTTCGATCCCCAGCGGCGTCATACCAAAAGACATTAAAAGATGGTACTTGTTGTTACCCTGTCTGGCGCTCAGCATTAAAGGGCTAAAACAAGGACTGGTCGGCTCGGAGTCAGTATACTGTGTCTGACTAGGGTATTCATGTTAAACTGCGGCATGGTATCTCAGTGCGCTAGCACTATAAATCGGCATCAGTCCTGACTAGTACAAGCAGCCACACAAACACACACATGTACATGCATGTTGCTATATAAGTGCAATAATCTTGGACGCGACGTTAAACCCCATTTCACCTCAGACTGAGTGCCCAGTTTGAAGTTCCTTTATTGCCTGTCATTGTACCCAGCGTGGGATGTGCTTATAACTGTGACTCTGGTTTGTCTAGTCCAGATTTGATGATCTGGCTACTTCTAATGTAGCAGGAATATTGCTCACTGTTGCATAAAGACCACCTCCATGGTCAAGTGGTAGAGTGTCTGCCTGAATAGCAGAAGGTGCGGGGTTCGATCCCCGGCCATTCATACCAAAAGATGTTAAAAGATGGTACTTGTTGTACCCTGCCTGGCGCTCAGCATTAAAGGGCTAAAAGAAGGACTGGTTTACTTGGAGTCAGAATACTGTGTCTGAGTGGGGTATTCATGTTAAACTGCAGCATGGTATCTCAGTGGGCTAGCACTATATATAAAATCGGCATCAGTCTGGACTAGTACAAGCAGTCACACACAGACGCACACGCACACACTCACATTCATGCACGCATGCACTCACACTGACTCACACACCTCACCTGAGGCATAAAAACAAACAAAACATACTGGATATAGCTGGACTATTGATTTCTGTTGTATTAAACAACATTAACTCAAGGGCTGGGACAAGTCCAAATTTACTACCCCAGTACCCACCCCCCTATTACCCACCCTACCCGGGTACCCACTGTAGGTCTCAGGAGATGTCTTAAAAATGTCTGATTGGGATCATTTTTAGCATAGCCCTGGCAAAACGTATTTAGATACATGTCTTAAACAATCAGGTCATTCATACACTGAAGTTGAATGAAGTTATATCTTTATTCAACATATAAAAAATCAGAAGGAATGGGTGCATAGTCAGAAAGAAATGCGAACATTAGTGACTTGTAGTGTAACCATAGAGCTCTAGATATTTTTTGTCATTAAACAATATATCATGTGACTAACTATGGGTCCGGGTAGTCCTGTGGGTACCCTGGTCCTACTCAGTACCCACCTGACCCGGGAACCCGAGTTACCCATCCCAACCCTAATTAATTCATTCACTCACTATGTTTTACCCATGGAGCGAGGCCCTGAAATGATCTTTTTGATGTTATGCCAGAAGTTAGGATAACCTCATGGATAAAGCTCTGGTTGACATGATAAAGTCAAGGGTTCGATTTCCAACATGGGTAAATGACTGAAGCCCATTCTTGGTGACCCTGCAGTTTTATGACTGTTGAACCATACTCACTCACTGATGTCTCGCCAAGACTAGTGTCCCTATAAACCTGGCTTTAGAATGTGCACCCCACTGCTGGCCGTAAAAGGTGACTTAATTGGGAACCCGTGAAGTTGGAATTTGTCCCTAGCAACCTATGCTGGTCGTAAGGGGCGATTTAATAGATCAGGTGGTCAGGCTCGGTGGCTCGGTTGAAGGCTTGACAGATAAACGAAAGCCAAAATTTGCATCAAATATTGAAACATTTCATCTGTATTAGCGTGATCAGTTTCTTATGTTTTATGTTCCTGGTTAGTATCTCGTTACTGAGTAGTTTACATTTTCATCTGAGCTGGGCAGGGTTTTGTTTGGAGCATTGATAAGCAAGATAAGAACTTTGAAAATAGATAGATAAGTGTCATATTGATTTATATCATGTGGTCAAATATAAATCCAAGTGAAACAGGTTATGTAATCAATTTTCTCAAGCAGCAGCATTCTTACGATCATGGTGATTATGTCAATATTGAGTTTATCTTATCTGTGTGTATTTTGCAATGAACATGATGAAGTTGTTAGGCCAGTCATGAGTCACTCGTAGAGCTTATCACACTGGTTAAGGTATATGGATAGAGTACATCCTAACCTAGGTGTAAGGAGGGGGGGGGGGGGGGGGGAGGGTGTTGGGGGATACCAGGGGTTTATACTTTGTTTTGGTTCACTTACATAATAATGTACATGTCAACATGCCCTCTGATAACAGACTTTGTTTCTGATCTGTTTATGACAGTTTATGAATGACATTTATCAAAGTCAGGATCATTGCTCAACATATGCTTACAGACATAGTGAAAGTGGGTAGGGAGAAATTGATAGGACTGTACCAAATGCTATGCTATGTTAGTGAAGAAATTGAAAGTGTACACATTTTTATTATAAACTTCAGTGTCAAAGACTGTGTTTTCTGAAGTTAGAAAAGTGATATTTTCATTGCAATGAACAGAACACTTGATATTTAAGTGCAGTGAACATAATACTTGATATTTCACTGCAATGAACATAAGATTTGATGGAACTATTGTCATACAAGAGTTACCTCCCCACAAATTGTCTCCCTTTATCGTAAATGTCTAGCGTGTACACCAACTGTTCTTTTTACATTATATCCACATTGACAAGGCAAAAAGATGACAGATGATCATTTATGATCATTGTTATTCTCTTATAAGTGTTTCGTCATTAACTGTAAATTTCTCATTTAACTCGTCAATCAAGACTGTTCGTTTCGCAAAGCACCATTTTCTTTACTGGACCAGCATATATTCTTTAGCTTCCAACAGCGGTCTCATAGATTTAGGTGTTAAGGTAATTTTAAGATGGTTTATATAAAGTGTTGGTGATTTTGGGGGAGAACTTCCCCTCCACACGCAAACACTGAAGTCACAAATGGCCCAAGTGACACCCCCCCCCACACACACACACCTTTTTATAATCCTGAATCCACCCTGCTGCATTCAACATTTGGAAGGGCACAATTGACAATTGACATCAAATGACTTAAATGTAAAATAAATTATAGTATGGTTGAAATAGATATAACCATGTGTCCATATGGTCATCTGTGGGTGTGTCCCCATACATCCATATGACTGCAGTTTGGCTGACTCAACATGCTCAATATGATCCTCTTAGTCTGATGTGTAAAGGTTTCTTCAAGCACATTCGTGATCTAGATTTATCACTGCATGTTGTAAATTTGCCTCAGTGTTGTGAAACTGACATCAAATCTATCTGGAAGTTAATTGCCGTGAAAGGATAATGACTGTTAAACACGTTCCAGCCGAACCTCGCTCAGTTTCAACATGATTGTTTCAGATGAGTCACTACTTGGACGTGGTTGAAGTTCAGATTGCCAAACAGATCTCAATCAAGTCGGAAGCCTTTTTCCACGCAATGACGTCACATGACGAACTGCAGGATCAGTTGCTACACACCTGTCAGGCCATCAAGCAACTCAGGTGAGTCACATTGTAAGGCCATCAAGCATCTCAAGTGAGTCACATTGTTAGCCCATCAAGCAACTAAGGTTTGTCACATTGTCAGGCCATCAAGCAACTCAGGTGAGTCACATTGTCAGGCCATCAAGCAACTCAGGTGAGTCACATTGTCAGGCCATCTAACATCTTATGTGAGTCACATTGTCAGGCCTTCAAGCAACTCAGGTGAGTCACATTGTCAGGCCATCAAGCAACTCAGGTGAGTCACATTGTCAGGCCATCTAACATCTTATGTGAGTCACATTGTCAGGCCATCAAGCAACTCAGGTGAGTCACATTGTCAGGCCATCTAACATCTTATGTGAGTCACATTGTCAGGCCATCTAACATCTTACGTGAGTCACACTGTCAGGTCATCAAGCAACTCAGGTGAGTCACACTGTCAGGCCATCAAGCAACTCAGGTGAGTCACACTGTCAGGCCATCTAACATCTCAGGTGAGTCACATTGTAAGGCCATCAAGCATCTCAGGTTTGTCACATTGTAAGGCCATCAAGCATCTCAGGTGAGTCAAATTGTAAGGCCATCAAGCAACTCAGGTGAGTCACATTGTCAGGCCATCAAGCAACTCAGGTAAGCCACACTGTCAGGCCATCTAACATCTTATGTGAGTAACATTGTAAGGCCATCAAGTATCTCAGGTGAGTCACACTGTCAGGCCATCAAGTATCTCAGGTGAGTCACACTGTCAGGCCATCAAGTATCTCAGGTGAGTCACATTGTAAGGCCATCAAATATCTCAGGTGAGTCACATTGTAAGGTCATCAAGCATCTCAGGTGAGTCACATTGTAAGGCCATAAATCATCTCAGGTTAGTCACATTGTAAGGCCATTAAGCATCTCAGGTGAGTCACACTGTCAGGCCATCAAGTATCTCAGGTGAGTCACATTGTCATGCCATCTAACATCTCAGGTGAGTCACATTGAGTGAGTCAAATTGTCAGGCCATCAGTCAAGCACAGTGTGTGTGTACTGAGTTTGAGAGACACACACTGTCTTCCCCTATGGCTAGATGCTCACACTATCAGTCACTCAATTGCTTTCCCCATACTTATGTTGTGGGACATCATGAAATTGTTGCTATTTAACTAACTGTGATGTAAATCCAGATCAATATCTGCTTTTAAAGTGCCTGAAACTGTTTTTTTCCAGGGACAAAGTGCATTCCTTAGACGACCGTTTAGCAGTGGGGTCATTAAATATCATGCACAAAACACGAGCGAGAGCAAACTATGTGAGCCTTCATAATAAAGTAAGTTTATGTTTAGCTCTCAAATCTTTAACCATGTTAACTCGTGGTCTAATTTTATGTTTACAATAATCAGAGTTGTTTCCCCTTGCAAGTTAGTCACAAGCTCCATTCATGGAGCTCTCTTTGCTATCAATGCAACCAGTCACAGCTCTTCACTTTCCAAGGTGGCCTACAACCATGCCTGGAGTTGAACTTGGAACTATAAACAAGTGATTACTGTTGTGTTGCCAAATACTCTTCTTCCGGCTAAACTGTCTTGTTTCTTTGTCAGTTTGAATTCTATTTCCTTTCAACTATCATGTAAGTAGTATCATGAGAATGTAAGCTAAATGGTGCTTTTCTGTTAGTCTGAAAATCTCGAACCAATCTGATTCACAAACAAATGTAAATTCACCTGGGAAATATTAAGTAAGTCATAAACCTTTTCTCAGTTCACTGTAATGGCATTCCCAAAGACCTACATCAACAAAATGTCACTTCAGCAAGAAGGGACAGTGGGATACCCTTGTGGTTAAAGCGTTAGGTTTTGATTGCCCACATGGGTACAATGTATGAAGCCCATTTCTGGTGTCACTGTGATACAGCTCACATATTGCTAAAAGCAGCTTAACACCATACTCACTCACTCACTCATTTGGAGTTGGAGGGGAAATTTTCAAGATTCTTGAAATGGGAGCTTGCACACTGGTGGCAGCGATGATACCTGGAGGGTAATGACAGTCAGTATCAAGCTTCAAATATCTTTGATACTTCCTTGTAACGTATTACAATGATAATCTGAAGAAAATATTTTCCCAATTTCTTGAAGAAATTGTAATCAATCGGACATTTACTTACAGTTAAAGCTTATGTCAACAATCCATCAAACGCAACCCACGATACAGCTTCTGTTGTCAACCAATGAGTTTGTCGGAGCTCTTGATCTCATCTCCACATCACAGGAAATATTGTCTCAGGAGCTGGCAGGGGTACATTCCTTTAGGTGAGTGTACTGGGATATAATTTAAAGTCCCTGTGGGGATTCTGTGTGAGAATTGTTCCAAGCAACCTATGCCTGTTGTAGAGGCGTTGGAATGACTTGGGGGTCAGACTTGGTTAATTTCATGTCATAGTACCCCAATGGAGTGGGACATTAACATGATATCAATCACCGGCTTGTCTGGTCCAGATGCTTATTAGTTACAGTCTGCTATTGTAGAGCTAGACCATTATTGAGTGTGGTGTTAAACAACAAACAAACAAACATTTTTCCAGTAAATTGCAATATATCACCAAACTAGCCAAGTGTGTTTTACAAAGGCTTGCATAACGGAATGTATATTCCTTATACAAAAGGGATAAATACGGCCAATAATTTAGAGGGACTAGTTGTTTTCTCCATAAGTTCAGTTTGATACAAAGGCTACAATAGTCCCACCACTTGAAACAGAATCACAAAATATCACAATGATTAATTAACGAAGATAGCTAATACTGTGCTAATACTTTTAAAGTGAAAACAAGCCATTCTGCCGATAAGAAATATTACTTTACAGTAATGACAAATATCACACTTTTCAAGAAATACCATTTTGCTAGCGATGAGAATTGAGTTTTGACCTCTTGGTTACAAGCTCGGTAAGAATCAGCAGTCTTTATATGACCAATTGTGTCTACCCCTGATGTATGATATTTTACATTTGAAAAGTAAGCATGACATATTAGTGCCAACAACCCTACACGTAACATAGCTCTACATTGAAAACTCACGCCGAAGACCCGGGTTCGATTCCCGACATGGGTACAATGTGTGAAGCCCATTTCTGGTGACCCCCGCCGTGATATTGCTGGAATATTGCTAAAAGCGGCGTAAAACCATACTCACTCACTCACTCACTCACTCACTCTACATTGAAAACACAGACACAGATGAAATACTTTAAATCTTGATATTAACGCGAGCGTGAATTAAATGCGAACAATGCGAGTAGTCTTTGCTCGCATTATTAAACGTCGCATTTATATCAACAATAAGACATTTTGGATAGCAGAAATACCAACTTAGACATACTCTGAAAACAAGCATTCCACATCACTGTTTATTGAGCAGCACTTGTTACAAGTATATAAACAATGTCATTCAAACACTAATTACAGTCCAGACTAAGTCCAGACAGACGCCACCCAACACAGTGTCTTTTCTCTTTACGACTGCATCAAAGGCCGACACGAGCCAGCGCGCACATATTGTTTTACTCTACTCAGTACTAATAAGCGGTGCTATTTGGTGTGTGATTGGATTAATGTAAGGTTGGATTAAGGTGAGGATTTTCCTGTAAACCTGACTGAGGATGTTTTGTTAAATATAAATCCACTGATGCTTGAGAGGACGGGGTGTCGCATTCATATTGAGTCGCATTTTTGGCTAGGGGCCAGCGGTCGCATTCTTTTGGAGACGCATTAATTTCACGTTTTACAGTATTCCAATGAATGATAACATATAGCTGAAATGCTATTGAAAGTTCTATAAATTGTTGATGAAAGTGATAAAGCTGAAATGTTGGTTACAGTGACACAGGTGAATTGTTGTTGTGATTCTGAATGCTATGGCTGCCTTGTGCCTGACAGTGGCCTATTGAAGGTGTTGTCTTGAGTTCCCCAGTGTTGTATTGTTGTTGGCAGACACCTCGGGTCGCAGTTGGCAGAGATGGAGAAATTGATAGACAAGATGTTGCTGGCTGACTTCCTGAAGTACGTCACCTCAGAGTTGAACAGGCCGGTCACAGATCTCGAAGTCTTGACTGGAGAGGTGAGAGCTACTGTATGATGTACCTCACAAAAAACCCATGTCTTTCCACCCTTGACACAGGTGGATGGGCAGAAGTCATCCTTGGAAGCCTATTCCTCATTACTAAGGTTATAGGGGAAACAATGTAATGTAGTTCACACATTATCTCATGAACTGAAGTATATCTTGTCCTTTTCACACTTAAGTTCAAGCGCCTCCGTGGTCTAGTGGTAGAGCGTCCCCCCGGAGAGCGGAAGGTCCGGGGTTCGATCCCCGACCGCGTCATACCAAAAAGACATTAAAAGATGGTACTTGTTGTTACCCTGTCTGGCGCTCGGCATTAAGGGGCTAAAACAAGGACTGGTCGGACTAGTACAAGCAGGCACACAAACACACGTACATGCACGTCGCTATATAAGTGCAATAATCTTGGACGTGACGTTAAAACCCCATTTTACCTTCACCTTAAGTTCAAGGTTAAGGAGTGAGTATGGCTTTTCGCCACTTTTAGCAAAATTCCTGAAATATCACAGCAGGGAGCAGCACACACATTTGACTCATGTGAGGAATATAACCCGGGTCATCTGAGTGATGGATTGGCAAATACTTTAACCATGTTGAAGGCACAATAGAAATACTTAGAGAAAAGAGAAGTATACAATAGAGAATAGATGATGATTGTGGATGAGGTGATTGAGAGGATGGTTAAGAAGATGCATGGAGTTGTTTAAGACGGATGGATACGAATATGCATGAGGCTGTTTCAGGGGGAAGAATATGAATATGCATGAGGCAGTTTCAGAGGAAAGAATATGAATATGCATGAGGCTGTTTAGAATGTGATAGGCTTTAGAACATAAGAAACATAACTGTGAAACAAACTTCTGTTTCAGGAAAAACTGGTATCAATATTATTTGGGCTTCTTCGACAGAATAAGCTCAACTTCGTTGATGTTTATAGAGAGGAAGCATTTACTGCTCTGAAGGCTGTGATAAAACAGGTAAGGCTGTTACAGACAGCGGTACCATAACACTCATAACATGTTGATTCTTCAAGTATACTGCTGTCTCTCGTTTGTGTATATGTTTGATCTAAGACGTCTTGTTGAATGTACTAGTAAATGCATATTTTGAAAGGAACAAGCCTTTAGCCCATGTGAGATTGGCTAGTTATGTCTTCCATTGGACTAGTAGACTAGCCCTTCCTGGCTTATATGCAATGGTTAATGTCATGTAATATTTACTAAGCAACAGTATATTAGGAAAGCCAAGAATCCCAACTCATCAGGAAAGGGTTATATGCAGCATTTGTTACACTTTAGGTAAGGGGCTAGATATTGGTGTTTGGGGAAACCTCTGTACACACAAATTGTCAGGACTGATGGTGTCGTCATAGATTACTGTGTTTAGGATTAGACATATGAAACTGTTTAAAACGGTATTTCTTCATAAGATTATTGTACATCTGTATGTTGCAGACTGTGGTGGAAGCTGTGTCTGCAGCAGATGATATCGACACTGAAGGCAATGTTGGCAGGTAAGCTTGAGATATCTTTGAGACATCATTAGTTTTTAATTCCAAGTTTTTCTTAAAACAACTTTATTCACCCTTTGCTTAACTGGGCTTATTTGTTATTAATATCATGAAGATATATTACTAGTGGTATGCAAGAAGTGCTCTGAGAGTTATATCCCTTTGTAAATAGACTTCTGTTTCACACAGCGTAGAAAATATCCTTAGTTACAGGTATATATATATGCTCTTCCTGATTGTGATGTAGTGTACATCTGTGGTATGTTGGCATCACAATGTCAGTTATGTTGGGAGATCAGTTGTAAGAAATTAAGATGGACCTTCTTATTTTTTATCTACACTTATGCTGTCATTGTTGATTAATGATTATAGAGTGAGTGTAACATTGTTCATTGTGCCAAGAATAATTTATTATGGTCATTCAGGGGTTAAAGTAGAGAAAGACATATTGATGTGAGTTGGTGTTGGTTCCAGCCTGGCAGATCAGATGCGTTTACTCAACTACCCGCAGTGGATGTCCCTGCTCAAGCACATCTTCTCCAACATGATGCAGCTGCTGCAGAGGACGCAGGTTGGTGGCATACATACAGGGCTTTGACCAGGCCTGCTCTGAGGCTGCGTGAGTGAGGGAGTGAGGTTTTACACCGCTCTTAGCAATATTCCAGCAATATCACAGCAGGGGAACATCAGAAATGGGCTTCACACATTTTACCCATGTCGGGAATCGCACCCGGATCTTCGGCGTGACGAGCGAATGCTTTAACCACTAGGCTACGTGACCACCACTTCTGAGGCTGATATTCGGACCCAGGTCTGCAGCAAATGTCAGTCAAAATTTCCAAATAGGAATAAAAAAATCTCAATCATGTTAATATAGTTGTATCCACTGTTATAGTTTTGTAGAGTTATTAGGTATATCACTGACAATGTGACCAATAGAGATGAAGAGGCTTTGAAGTTAGTTTTACATTAACATAAGAACTTTAACTAAATCCAAGTTTTGAGCAAAATAATGCTGTTTTCACAATTTGCCTGCCAAAGACACTTAATTTATAATCCTGGATAAATTCCAGACATGGCTTACAGGGGATTGAAAAGTTCTTTCAGTGACTAGCTCATCCAAAGTTTTGTTTCGAGAAGACCATGCTTGACACCTGAAATGTCTGCCTACTGACAACATGGCCTTGAAATGTTTATAGAAGCCCATAAAATTCCTTGAAATTTTGTAAGCTATGTCATCATGAACTCGGTTACCATGGTTACACTGTCATCATGGTTACACTCTGATTCACGTACTACTATAACCTTTTGTAACTATAGTTCTAATAGTTGGAGGTGCATGAGTGCCCCAGTGCTCGAAGGTGATACCATGTGCTGTTAAATCCCTCCTCCATGTTTGGATCCACTGATAGTAGGTTTGAATCCAAGATTTGCCCTGATTAGGATCATTGGTTTGTCTGCACCATCTTCATGCTCCTGGTTTTCATGAACATCAACAACAAGGATCACTTTGGCTGTTCCACCCATATCATTTTATAACTGAAATACTGTCCAAAGTGGTATTAACTCCAGCTCTCTCACTCACTACAGTTTGACAAAGCAAATGTTTTAATTGTGGCACAAGTCCTGTGATATATTTTGTGGGTACTGTAAGAGTGTTGTGTGTGTATTTCCAGGCATTCCATGGTGTGATGAGTGATGTGATAGGGATTGCAGCAGGCAGGACAAAGGCGCCAACACCTGTGTCAACACCAACGTCGGCGGACAAGCAGTTCCTGGAGGAACCTTCCCATCTCCATGTCTCTGTGTGAGTATACACACAGGTTTATAGTGCCATCCAATCAAATTACTCTCACAAGCAAGAGAGATATTGTGCAAAGTTGGAGATGGTTGGATGAAAGTAGTGATGTCACTTCAAATCTTAAACTATGTTGGCAAATCGGTCCTGGGTATAAATAAAAAATATGCTGAACAAAAAGAGGTACAGATCATGAATATTTTGGGGGATATGTGTTTGTAGTGAAGACTGAGCACACAGTTTCATAAAAAATATCCCCCCAAATAATCATGATCTCTTATGTGTTTTGTTCCGTAAAATGCACTGAATAATTCAGGATGGATGTTGTGATTCAGTTCGGTGGCAGGTATGAACTCTGGTCTAATTCTTCTCTCTCTTGTCCCCCCCAGGAGTGAGGATGTGGATGTGATGATTACGGAAGCAGAATACACCAAACTGAGCCTTGGGTTGAAGGAGATGCTTTGTGCCGTCTGTGATAACGCTCACGATCGCTGTGTCAAGGTTGTGGTAGCCAGGGCAAAGGTCAGCCATCACAAAGTTTTCATTGAATAGCAAAGCATGCTGTTAAAAGTTTATTTGTCCAAATACCAGTGATGACATATATAAGTCAGGTTTGAATAATTAGATGCAGATTGAATGGGACTGGCTGCTTGGAAGCGTTGTCATATAAACTGATTATAAATATGTCATATGTACACATATATCATATCGACCCGTGAAGATCTGGGTTCTTCAGCAATCCATGCTTGCCATAACAGGTGACTATGCTTTACGTAAGAGGCGACTAACGGGATACGGTGGTCAGGCTCACTGACTTAGTTGATGCATGTCATCGTATCCCAAATGCGTAGGTAGATGCTCATGTTAATCATTGGATTGTCTGGTCCAGACTTGGTTATTTACAGATTGCCGTCATATACCAGTAGGTGGAATATTGCTGAGTGGGGCGTTAAACAACATACAAAACAAAACATATATCATATAAGTATGAAATATCCGTGTCCCTCTGAAAAGTTCGTGGTATATATAAATCTCTGTGAACTTAAATTTTAAGATACTATTTTCTGTTGGTGTGTACAAAAGTTCTCAAGCCACTGTTTGACTCAAACCTACTAAATATGTTTTATTTTGGCTACTGATTCATTTGATGATGGAAATGTTTTCTATGACTTGTCCGCCATAACACATCATGAAACAAGCAAAACCGTATGATGGAGATGTGTATTCTATTGCAACAAAGTGAATCGTTACAGCCCTATCAGAGATATATTTCACTTGTTTGTGCTGCTGATAGCCCACAATTAAATTAAATTAAGGAATATCAAACAGGTCATTTCAGACATAACATCTAGCCATATTTGTTCAATTCTGACATAAGATCTGTCCACATTTGTTAAAATTCAGACATAAGATCAATCCACATTTGTTCGTCAACAGGATGGTTTCCTGGAGAGACTCTCTTCCTCTGAGTTTGTTGCCTTGTGCAGGGAGGTGGAGGGCTTCGTCGGTGAGTGCGAGACCATCTGCGGCCGACCCAGCACCTCACTCAGGGGCAGCTTACAGAACCAGGTGAGAACCGTACTGGTGACCAGTAACTGCATGTGCAGTGCTTCGGCCAAATATGTTCCCCATGTGAGTTGCAGTTCACTGCTTCTGTGGGGTACTTGATTGAGCGTGTGCCAGGAGTGCGTAAAGTCGGTGGTTTAATCCCTGGTGGCGTCATACCAAAAGATGTTAAAAGATGTACTTGTTGTTACCCTGCCTGGAGATAAAACAAGGACTGTTCGGAGGCAGGATACTGTGTCTGAGTCGGGTATCCATGTTTAAATGTAGCATTGTATCTCAATGGGCTATCACTATAAAAAACGATGTTAGCCTGGACTAGCACAAGCAGCCAAATACCCACGTGCATCACGGTGCTATATAAATGCAGTAATCTTGAATGTGACATGACACCCCATTTCATCTCACCTCACCTTGTTACAGATCAGTTCAACAGAGTCAAATGTATATTTGTGTGTAGATATAATTTGTTTGTAATCACTGCATTGATAACAAAGGTGGTGTCTTGTGCTGTGTGTTCCCATGTAGTTTTGGGTGTATGATTGACTTGCCCTTGCATGCGTTTGTGGTCAGGGGCAACCGGTGGGGCAGGATACACACTTTTTTGCGAACACTTCATATCACTTTTTTTTATAGTGATTCATAATAGACACATGTTTTATGATAGAGTCAGACTTGTACAATGGACTCTTGTGGTGGAGATTTCTTGTGATTGTGGAAATTTTTTTTTTCGTTTTTTATTATTTTGAATAGTTTTGTTGTTGTTGTTGTTGTTATTATTGATAAGCTGCTGTTATTTTCACAGGCAAACAGGTTTGTTGCCCGATTCCATGAAGAAAGGAAAAACAAACTCAGGTAAGGAACACTTAGAAATTAACATACGACTCCAGGGCTCACCATTGAATTTAGAAATGGTTCTGAAACAAACTGGGGTTGAACCTGAGATATTATCTTTGATTCTACTCATGTAAGTTGATCCCAGCTAAGATACTATAACTTATATGAAGTGTATTGGGCAGACAGTAGGGCCGCAACGAATACACTGTGGGGCGAATATGATTCATATCACGAATATAGGGTAACGAATACGAATATTAATTCACAAATACAATAACAAGTCACTGAGTCAGCAGTTGATGTATTATTTATTATATTCAGTGAAACAATAAAAAAATTAATTATTTGACATGGTTTGTTTATTATTAATATACATGTATTATACATTTATATACTGCACTTACCCAGGTACTAGTATCTGCTCAAAAGCGACAATGACCAGTGACCACATTACTGTCAAATTAATTTTATAAGAGTGTTGTCATTGAAAGGTGTCATCTATGCATATAATATGTTCTTGTGGATATTTTTAAGTACAGGGTATGTAACTACACATGACTGCATATTTAATAAATATATTCGATTCTTGTGGCCACGAATAACGAATTCCATTCATGAATGGTTACGGTTCGATTCACTGAATACACGAGTGAATCATAACAGCCCTAGCAGACAGACACCATATTTTCTAGAGTATAGTGCGCAGCCAAGTATAATGCGCACCACCATCTAGGTGATTCACGTTTTATAACCAGACAGTGTAATTACGTGATTATTTGTGTTCTTTAGTACATTGTGTCATTGTATGTGGGTTGTTGTTCATGCCGTCAACCACTGGTCTGTTTGGCTCAGACTGATTATTTACAGAGTGATTTATTTATTTATAGCTGGAGTATTGTTCACTCATTGTGTAAGGAAACTTGTTAGTGAAGAATACTTACTGTTGCTTGTGAGTTCACTATGCAGGAAATATCAGCTGTCCTTCATCCGCCTACATTTGGTACTGCATTGTGGTCTGGTTTGGAGGAAGATGCTTCTGTGTAGGTGTTGCAGTGATGGCTAGAAAACCCTGTCCATTGACTAAGGCATGTGTCCACCTCCTGTGTTGTAGTCTCATCCTGGACAACGAGAGGTGGAAGCAGGCCGACGTCCCCACAGAGTTCCAGGACCTTGTTGACCACATCGCAGCTACAGGTCAGGGTCATCACACGGTCAACGTTGACCTCTCAAAATCAGTCTCAGAACCATAAACGTTGAGAGTACAGTATCTGTTGTTCCCCCAGTAGGAGTAGGAATATGAGACCATCACCTCAATAAGGATATTGCAGGAGTCATAATATTACATTGTCTGAACCACACATCAATGTAACAGAGATCCAGTTTCACTTCCAGACAGAGTCCATTCAATGTTCAAGGCCTCTGTCCCAAAACACAAGAATATACTGGATAAATGCCTTATTATTATGTAGAACTTCAAAATAATTTGTACATTATACGTTATTAGAGGGACAGATTTTTTAAACTTTCGATGGAAATAGGCCATATATTTAAGAGTTCTTATGCAGTCAATTGACATCAGAGATATAAACTTGTCAACTGTGGGTGGGCCTTCATCTAAGCATAATTCTTTTGACGTCAAAAGAAGAATATTAAGCCAATCTTTAATTCAGTGGTGTTTAGTTGTAAAAGTAAACAAGTCAGGTGTTATTGTACAAGCTATATGCAAATGTCTACACTTGAATCTGGATTTATGGCCATGACTGGTGACGATGCCAGCGCTTCCATCAAAACCAAGAAAATGTCAAACTTTCCTTTTAAATGCGTCACAGCTTGTATTTTTACCTTTTTAGGTGATGATGTTCTTTGGTTAGCAATGTTTCCTCCATTTCAGGTTCATTGTCCATTCCTGAAAGAAGAATAGATTCAGGCAAGTCACATTGTGCTCTCTGTATTCAGTGGTACTTAATCTACTTATGTTTGTATGTGTGTTTGTAGAAAGATTGAAGACAGTCTCCTTTTAGCTAATCTCTTTACATGCTTTGTGTGTATTTGTGGCGGCGTAAAACAACAAACCAACCAATCGTACCCTGACATCATGGATCGTTATTATTTACATGCCACTGTCATACCCTGGAATATTGTTGAATGCTACGTCAAACAAAAAAATGTTACCAGAGCTGACCTTGTTTGGGCTTAGGCTGTTACAATGTGTGACTGTGATGATTGTGTTATTGTAACCACATGATCCTCATTCTTCCTCTTGAGTATCAACAAGCTGTGAGCTGGCTGTCCTTGTATACTTTCTTACTCCAGTGTCGTGGACCAATGCTGAAACCATAAGCTGCTGCCTTGCCTGCATTAAAACTCTACAGACGTAAATCGATATACATTTGTTAAAAAAATAATTTCAATTTTTATTATTTTGTTCTTTGTTGTCGAATAGGTACATTAAATAAGAAACTATTTTGAATGTTTTTCATTGTAACAGATGGTAGGAAGCCTTCAGAGTTCATCACTATAGACGGAGAAAAATATGCAGTGGTTGGGTTAGTACTGTCAGTAATGTCAACTAAAGCTGGAGTTCTATTGTATAAAGTGTAATGCATTAAAAAAGTTTAAACCCTATGAAAAAGCTTATGTCTGAGTTGTATTGGATATAGTATGTTGGTTGTGTATATTAAAATACATACAAACCGGAAGCTATGCCTAGTTTGTCCAAAATTGCTAAGTCGAAAGGATTTCAAACGCACTGGACTATGAAATGTTTTTTTGTGTCTCATTTCTGTTGGATTTTTGGTGATATATTGTCTCCTCCCTCCCTTGCAGCACGGTGCTGATGTTGATCAAGATGGTGGTGGAGTACTGCCAGTGTCTCAACGACATCCCCACAGCAGCCCCAGACCTCCTCACAAGGCTCATAGACTTGCTCAAGGTAACATTGTGTAACCAGGCACATAGACTTGCTCAAGGTAACATTGTGTAACCAGGCTCATAGTCTTGCTCAGGGTACATTGTGTGACCAGGTTCATAGACTTGCTCAGGGTAACATTGTGTGACCAGGCACATAGACTTGCTCAAGGTAACATTGTGTAACCAGGCTCATAGACTTGCTCAAGGTAACATTGTGTAACCAGGCTCATAGACTTGCTCAAGGTAACATTGTGTAACCAGGCACATAGACTTGCTCAGGGTACATTGTGTGACCAGGCTCATAGTCTTGCTCAGGTAACATTGTGTGACCAGGCACATAGACTTGCTCAAGGTAACATTGTGTAACCAGGCTCATAGACTTGCTCAAGGTAACATTGTGTAACCAGGCTCATAGACTTGCTCAGGGTAACATTGTGTAACCAGGTTCAGAGTTATCATGAAGTCATTGCCAGGCTCATAGATAATCTCAACAAAACATAATTTAGCCTGACTCATCACTTGCCCAAGGTAACAATGTGATAATGCTTATAGATTTGCTCAAGGCAACATCCTGTTATCTATGAGCTTGTGTGAAAATTCTGATTAATTTGTCTACAAACATGAGTGATTGATTTAAATGGATGATTTTCTTCTGATTTGATAATTATGGTTGTGGAATTCCTGTTGTCTACAGCTAGTATACCTGGTAGTTATTGATTGCCTTGTGTTGTAGACGTTCAACTCCCGGACCTGTCAGCTAGTCCTGGGGGCTGGAGCTCTGCAGCTTGTTGGCCTCAAGAAAATCACAACCAAAACACTGGGTGAGACATTAACTGTATATATGTAAATAGTGATCATATTTTTAATATTTTAGGGCGATAAACTACCATGGTTGTTGCTGGCAACATGCTCCTGTCTTGGGGCAGAAGCAATCCTAGTACCCCATGCTTTGTAAGAGCTGACTAATTGACCTTATTGTATGAATCATTAGGTCTCAAATGTTGGATAATTGCTCATGCTATTAACCACTGGTTTTCTATCCTCAGACTGAATTATTATCAGATTATCATTATATTGCTGACTGGAATTAACAGCATTCACTGTTAACATTGTATAACTTCACACTCAAAAACGTTCAATCTATTTTATGGTCGCATGCAAACAATTCTTGTATGGACCGTACAATCCAGTGATTGATATTATGAGCTGTGATCAACTCTGTCGGGGGTACGATGACACTTAATCAAACAAGTCACCAAGCCTGACCACCTGATCCATCAAGTACCATCTGACAACAGCTATAGGTTGCCAGGGACCATTTCTAACCCAAAATCCCCAGCAACCTCTGCATGTCGTAAGAGGCGACATAACGGATCACGTGAACGTGCTCAGTGACTTGGTTGATTAAGTGACATCATACCCCGATGATATGGGATGTTGTACATCATATCAATTTCTACACATTGTACCCATGTCGGGAATCGAACCCGGGTCTTCAGCGTGACGAGCGAACGCTTTAACCACTAGGCTACCCGACCGCCCCACACATGTGTCATAGAATGGTTAACTTTCATTGAGAAAATACCCTAAAATGTACAGAACTTTCCATTTGTGTAGTTATCCTTTGTTTACATTGGTTGTACAGCTCCAAATGTTGTCATCAAAGACCTATGGAGAGCTAGCGATACGGCCACTTGATGTATAAAGATATATTGTCATGCACCTCACTGTCACAGTTGTATATAATTATTCGAAACAATATGTAAAGCTCTCCGAAAAACTGGCATTAGGCCAGACTGTTCTTATTTCAGAAGTGTGTTTGTTTACAAACAAGAGAAAAGTCCAGTCACGTGATATGCAAATTAGCCTGTGGAATTGGTGTTATGCTAAGTCACCACTGCGCCAGAGTGTGCTGAAACTTGTGTTACCTATGTAGTATGTAACACTTTGCCTTCCCCACCTAGCGCTGGCGTCGCGGGCCCTGCAGCTGGTGGTACACTACATGCCGCGGGTGAAGGCACACTTCGAGGACCAGCTCCCCTCACGCAACGTCAACATGCTCAAACACTTTGAACAGATTATCAAGGTCAGTCACAGTGATTCACAACTTGTTTTTTTATGGACATTTTCTGCTGCTTTGACATACTTAAAGCCATGATTCAAAACATGGATGTTTGGGGAGGGGGTGGGAGGGTCATCAACTGCTGGACGAGTATAGAGATTGGGAACATACTGTAGCTCACCTTTCAAAAGAGACCGCCTCCGTGGCCTAGTGGTAGAGCGTCCGCCCGGAGACCGGAAGGCCGGGGGTTTGATCCCCGGCCGCGTCATACCAAAAGACGTTAAAAGATGGTACTTGTTGTTACCCTGTCTGGCGCTCAGCATTAAGGGGCTAAAACAGGTACTGGTCGGCTCGAAGTCAGCATACTGTGTCTGAGTGGGGTATTCGTGTTAAACTGCGGCATGGTATCTCAGTGAGCTAGCACTATAAATCGGCATCAATCCGGACTAGTACAAGCAGCCACACAAACACACACACGAACATGCACGTCGCTATATAAGTGCAATAATCTTGGACGCGACGTTAAACCCCATTTCACCCCACCTCACCTTTCAAAAGAAAATGCCTGGCATCCACAGTGTTCATGTGGATCTTTACATGTGACCTACCAGGAGAAAAGGGACCTTATGGGTGCAAGGATACAATAGTGCAGTGACGTCAACTTACTTCAGTGAACATTGCCATGTGTGATGTCATGTATCTCTTTAATAAATATGAATTGAAGCTTGTGAATTGTATTTTTGTGTTCCAAAGATGTTTTAGTTTTAAAATATAAAGAAAACTCAAAATGAGATTTTTTTCAGCCCATCCCCGATCTCATGGTTGGTCAAATATTATGTTTCATCAGACATGTATTTTTTTGAAACAGTATCATGTTATGGTTATTTGGCTTGAAAATAATGCAATATTTGTTTTAAAAAATGAAAAGTCACATCTTAGAAGTTTAATTATTTTTGGGGACATTACCAATCGCTCATTAACTGTGGTTCACATTGAATTGATGCCTGATTGATTTTTGACAGGACTACAAAGACCACATAGATGAAATCAACAACAAGCTACTCACTATCATGGAGAACATGATGGAAGCACAGCTATCACAGGTGAGTACAGGGGACAGGGTGTGTTAGTTGAAGACAACATTCTACTGTAACTTTACTTTTGGTACTAATAACTAAATAAATAACACTGGATAACACATGTGTCAGCATCAGATGTAGAAATAAGCATCATTATGGAACTTCCATGGATTAAACTTACCAGTATACAGTATTTCGTGAGGCAGTTAGGTTGGTTGTTGAAAACGTCCATCTCTTTCCAGTATGAAGTGAAGGCACCAATGCCATCAGCGTGCTTCAGGTCCCTCTGTAAACAGATGGCCAAGCTGCATGAAGCAATCATTGAAATTCTCCCAGTTTCTCAGGTCAAGGTGAGTTAACTTTTAGATGGACCGCCTCCATGGTCTAGTGGTAGAGCGTCCGCACGGAGAGCGGAAGGTCCGGGGTTCGATCATACCAAAAGACGTTAAAAGATGGTACTTGTTGTTACCCTGTCTGGCGCTCGGCATTAAGGGGTTAAAGCAAGGACTGGTCGGCTCGGAGTCAGTATACTGTGTCTGAGTGGGGTATTCATGTTAAACTGCGGCATGATATCTCAGTGGGCTAGCACTATAAATCGGAATCAGTCTGGTCTAGTACAAGCAGCCACACACACACACACGTGCATGCACGTCGCTATATAAGTGCAATAATCTTGGACGTGACGTTAACTCCAATTTCACCTCACCTCACCTATCTTTTAGATTTAAGAGTACAGTTTGTCCATGACTGTTTGTTTATTTGTTGTCTAATGCCACCACAGTCTGCAATATGCCAACTGTATAGTTGCAGCCTGTAAACAATTAAGTCTGGACCAGACAAACCAGTGGTGGATATTATGAGCATGGTCCCATGTCATCAGGTTACAATGACATGTGGGGCGGTCGGATACCCTATTGGTTAAAACGTTCGCTCATCACGCCAAAGACCCGGGTTCGATTCCTGACATTGGTACAATGTGTGAAGCCCATTTCTGGTGTCCCCCGCCATGATATTGCTTGAATATTGCTAAAAGCGGCATAAAACCAAACTCACTCTTCTTCACTCTACAATGACATGCAATGAACCAAGGTACCTCTTTAAACAAGCATTGGTTACTAGGTACCACTTCTCCCCTGTAATCCCCATAACTGAATGACTGGACTCTTTCTGTATTGCAGGCATTGTTTGTGAGAATCAACCAGTCTTTCAAACAGATACTCAGCAGGCACCTCGTCCGACTCAACGTGTGCAATGATGGAGGACCCCAGTATGGGTAGGTATTGCAGTCAAACGTATCTCAAAGATGATGGTGCATTAATGCAATAATGATAAATGCAAAGGACTGCAAGAGCCGATATCTCATCTGTGCAGCTGTGACCAATTCCTACCAAGTAGATCACACTGAAGACAAGACCATTGGAAAACAGAAACATGAAATACTTGCTGAGTAATAATATTAATATTCATTTATTTCCTTTTTTTCAGGCTTGTGACTTCGGACCTTTTGTTCTATGCTGGAAATTTTCGAACTTTGAAAGGAATAGAATGTTTGTGTGAAAATATGAACGATGTATGGTTACCAAGGTGACAGATATGAGTGTGATTTTGTGAAACCAAAACAAAGAATTATTCAGGGCATCAGATTCTACATACAGATCATCATCATCACCATCTGTCAACAGCCACATGCTTGCATGACCAGGGTGGTAGCCTAGGAGATTGACCGTGCAACCATCTTGGATTACGCATCTTGAGGCATGTGATGAGAAAGAAATCAGAACCAACCTAACCATGGACCTGCCAACAATGTCTCCACACCTGGAACAACCTATTATAATGCCATAGTGCTTCCCAACCTGCTGAAAATGATGTCTTTTTTCGGTTTCGCTGATATCAAAATATTTGAAGAATCGGTGTGCCATAAATATGACAAACATGCTCCTTTTTGTGAACAAGTCCATTTGGATCCATTCCTGCTGTAAAGACAGCATCATTTAGTTTACTTCTATGATGTGCCTGTGTGACATGCTTTCAGAGAGTCACAACTATTACGAGGGTTTTATCAAAGTTCATCCATGGTGATTGTCATGTTTGATAGATAGTCAGGAAATCACACCGAGTAAGCATCTTTCATTCCGATATCATGCATATGATAAAACTCAGAATCAGCCCTTTTCCTTCAAAGAAACAGGTAGCCCAGTTCATTTAAACCCATCCAGCATTTGATTTTTTCCAGACATTAACACTCACCTGCATGGTATCACAGTATAACGAGGGAGCACTCTATAACAAGGGAGATACAGGAAGAATGTTTTTGAGGGAAAGGCCATGTATAAAACCATTGATATTATTTCACTACTTTACACACAAAGGGATTGGTACCCTTGCAGTCAAATTGTTCACTTTCACATACACAATATCTTGGCAGCTTTTGATTGGGTGGCCAGACATGTTGGCTCTGTTGGATGATGTTTCAAATTTCTCACTCTTTGTCGCCCTCAGTGGCGATTCCCGAGCAGATTGATCTTCATAGAGTAGAGCTTGGATAGGTTATCTCTGTTGCCTACACTGCCCTACCACCATAGATCATAGTATGTAGGATTTATGAGGATCAGAGGGGGGTCATCAGTCACCATAGTCTACACATGTCTGAGGAAAAAACAGCCTTGGTAATGGGCAAATCGTCTAAAAAACATGATGCATACAGAAAAATGTATTGGGATCTTGTTAGGATAGATTGCTTCTTAAAGATTTTGCTGGAGGCATCGTCAATACTTCACAGATTTGTGTGCAATACATTCTATATCACCCATGAGTATATGTGGTGCGCTGATGTGGGTCTATTTTGAGGAAGACATCAAATGAACCCCACTTGAGATAATGAGTAGAGCAGATGGCTGCAAGGCTATGGTACAAGTTGTCAAAGGAGAAGAATTACATTGCGATGTAAGCTGAATGCTCACTGGTCTCAGCATTCACTTGAACCAGGCCTCCGCTTGATTGGTTGGTTAAGAATAGCCACCACATAGCAAAACTCCCTGTGTATTCACAGGTGATGGAGGAGTGTATGGACACAAATTCAGTGAGTATTGACAGTGTGCAGAAGAGGGTCACAGATGACCCAGTGGTCTAAGGCAAAGTCTATGCAGAGTTGCATCCTTTAGTCATGTCAGGATCCGCTGTTTGTAAGTTTCAATCCCAGATTTGTTCCAGTTATGATCCTAGGCCTGCACAAAGTGGTAAATGTTGACAACCATGACACTTTGGGCTTTGCTCCGACAATATGCTGGTGCGTGATAAAACTGAAGTGGCGGTAAATCCAGTTCAGTCACTCACATGCCAAAGGTGAATATTGAGTTCTGTTAAGGAAAAAGCATTCTGTGATTTGATAGGAACATTATTAAGGCAGGTTTTTTTTATTACTTGGTGTATGTATCAGCCAGTCAAACATTTCACACATATATATGATCAAACTAAATTTTCTTCTTTTTTTATTGCCAAGTCTTACAAAGTTTTGAAAAGAAAAAGAAAATCTTCAAAGCATGACCTTAAAGAAAGGGAAGTAACCCTTTGACTTGGCCTTCTTCTGAAAATACTTTTACGAGATCACTTGTTTGGGTTTTAAAATGTATTGTTATATACGTGTTAACCAGCATCCCAATGGTTTAGGAACAAAATCTGTAATCCAAGTAATAAAAAGAAGGCCTGTTTCACATGATTCCATTTTGAAACCAAAGTATTACAGAGGGGCGGACTTTAGTGCTACATGTTTCGAGTGGACGCAGGAATTCCAAATCACATGCTGTCCACTTGACTTCTATTCACATAGTATAAGTGTTGTCTTTTCTCATAATAAATCTATGTTTTGTAAATATTTTCTCAAGTTGTGTGTACATAATAACCGTCTTTCATTTGACACAGGTTGTGTTTATGGCTGTCATTATTAAATCCTTCTGTGTGTAGATTGTGGACAATGTGACAGTTCATGTGAATATGAGTGTGTGATTGATTATGTGATGCTAATTTGTTAAATTATTGAATATATTATTTATTTATGTGGAAGTGAATCATATATATTGGGGCTATAACTTGTCACCATACTATCAAAACATCATACATTGTTCCACAATATACATGTGATTTCATGATAGCTTGTGTCAGTACAAAACACTACTTGTTCACAAACACATGATACTGTTACAATGAAACAAGTGGATCCAGAAGTGCAGGGGATGCACTTTGTGACTTGAATATAATATGCCCCCCCCCCTTTTTCACAATTCTAGAGCCACCTCTTCATGGTATTAAGATTAATTGTAAATTCCATTTTCTTAGTGTTTGGATGACTTCGACTTTCCGATGCAAGTGTGTCCACTATCCTATGTGAAAACTTGACTTTGATATAGGCTAGTGGACACTTAATGACTTAAGGTAGCCGTCAGTTTCAGTGTGGAAGACTTAGATTGACTAAGTTGGTCTTCTTGTTGCTAGTCATTCCCTTTGATGATGAACCTCTCCTTGGCATGACGATTGTCAAGTTTTGTGTACACCCAGTTCAGCACCACCTGCTGTGTGAATTAGGAATCAAGATATACAGTGAATTCTTTTTATATTCAGAGATATTTATACTAACAAGATTATGGATTTGTTGACATGGCATTTACAAATCATATCCTGATTTAAAGTTCTGATGAAAAACATTTGGTTTGGGTACAAAGTGATACACTCATATTGAAATACAGAATGGAAAATCTGTGACCAATTCTTGTGACCATTGAGAGGGAAATACAGTTTTCTTTGACCAATTCTTGCAACCATTGGGAGGGACATACAGTTTTCTTTGACCAATTCTTGCAACCATTGGGCGGGAAATACAGTTATCTTTGACAAATTCTTGCAACCATTGGGAGGGACATACAGTTTTCTTTGACCAATTCTTGAAACCATTGAGGGACATACAGTTTTCTTTGACCAATTCTTGCAACCATTGGGAGGGACATACAGTTTTCTTTGACCAATTCTTGCAACCATTGGGAGGGATATACAGTTTTCTTTGACCAATTCTTGCAACCATTGTGAGGGACATACAGTTTTCTTTGACCAATTCTTGCAACCATTGGGAGGGACATACAGTTTTCTTTGACCAATTCCTGCAACCATTGGGAGGGACATACAGTTTTCTTTGACCAATTCTTGCAACCATTGGGAGGGACATACAGTTTTCTTGTGATAATGTTTTCAGCAGGTATCAGAGGTATATTGGAATTTATATGAATGAGATCAATGTCTTTGTATATATTTCCAAAAGATACATGGAAGTTTGGGATATCTGAAAATAATGAAGAGATGGTGCTGAACTCTTTGATAGGTGTATATATTATCCGCATCCTATTTAGACCTTATAATATTTTCACGGCAGCAAAGCTTGTTGTTACAGCCCTGATGTACCGAGTAGACATATTATATGTTGCCCAGGGTTTTTATGTTGCCTGGATTACAAATATTCCAGAGAGAAAAATATGTTCGGAAATGTTTGTCATACATAATTTCATAAGGACAACCTACAGATTAAGCTTGTAAACTGTTGAGTGTTATTTCAGAATTGGAATGTTTGGAGTCAAGAAAAGGAAACTGATGTATTTCTTCTCCTTTGAGGAGGCACGGGTGGCCCAGTCATCGTGCCGCGATTCTCTGTGCAGAGTTGCGTCCCTTGGGCATGCCAGAAACCTATGAAACCCGATTATGTTTCTAGGTTTGTTAGCACCATACCCGTTTTCTTGGGTTTCACCGGAGTGGTAAACGTCTGAGACCTGCATCACTTCGGACTTACCTCCCACAATAAGCTGACACGCCGTGATATAACTGGAATAATGTTAAAAGCGGTGTTAAACCCAACTCACTCACTCACTCTTCTCATTTGAAGGACAGTGACTGTTATTATCAAGAATTATTTTCAAGAATTCAAGGATACATTTGACCCCTGTAAAAGCAAAGTTCTCCAAACCGAACCTTTCTCTGTTATGACCAGAGGAAAAGGTGGCCCAGTTGTTTGCAGTGCAGAGTTGCATCCCTTATTTTCACAAGGATCTGCAGAAGTGGTTTCAAATCCCAGATTCGCTTTTATTATAATCTTTGGTCTGTCAGCACCATACCCACACTTGAGGAATCTGTTGCCAAAGTGGAAAACATCAAGGATCTGCTTCAGTTGAGGCTTTCCTCCAACATTAAGCTGAGATGTGGTGATATGCACAAAATGCTCTTCAAAGCAGCATTAGACCCTACTGATTCTGCTATGTCTGTAATGCACCCTCATATTTGTATTTTCTAGTTGTACACAGATTTGCTGAGCAGCTGTGTCTTTGAATAACATTCCTGATGATCAAAACAATTGTGAACCAAGAGTAAGAGGTGAGGTGAAATGGGGTTTAACGTTGCGTCCAAGATTATTGCACTTATAGCGACATGCATGCGCGTGTATGTTTGTGTTTGTGTGGCTACTTGTACTAGTCCGGACTGATGCCGATTTATAGTGCTAGCTCACTGAGATACCATGCCGCAGTTTAACATGAATACCCCACTCAGACACAGTATACTGACTCCGAGCCGACCAGTCCTTGTTTTATCCTCTTAATGCCGAGTGCCAGACAGGGTAACAACAAGTACCATCTTTCAACGTCTTTTGGTATGACAGGGTCGGGGATCGAACCCCGGACCTTCCGCTCTCCGGGCGGACGCTCTACCACTAGACCACGGAGGCGGTCTACCAAGAGAAAGAAAGGAGCAAGGTCAGGTCCACTCATTTTGTACTTTATACTGGAGAGTTTGAAATATATCATCTCATCATAGGATCATTTCATACTTTATAGATGGCGATATACGGATCATTTCATACTTTATAGATGGCGATATACGGTATTACACAATGACAAATCAAAATGACTTGCATGAAGTAATGAGGTGTGGTTGTAGTCACGAGGGGTTGCACATTACTTGAGTCGAGAGGGGGACACACTTGCTGACACTCTTCTGGGTCTGCCAGTGGACAGTGTATGTAAAAGCTGTACTGATGTTTTCCACACCCTTCATGTTTTCTAAGCGCTAATTGTTTTTAAATCTATATATGATGGGCAATTGCACTGATATAAACATATTTTAGGAAAAATAAAACTTAACGCTTTGGTAACAGTTAAAACAAAACTTATCGCTTTGGTAACAGTTAAAACAAAACATCGCTTTGGTAACAGTCTTGTTATTAAGTTGCAGGACAAACTGCTTAAAACTCAACTTTCTAACTCTCTCACACAGGGTTCTACCTGATGCTACAGAGAATCACGTGTATTTATTATGTGTATCCAATCAACTTTTTAATACGGCCAGTTTTATTCTGGTTTCTGTGAATTGTCTTACCGGTGCATTAATGAATACTAAGAATAATGATGACATACTCAGGATTTTGAAGATAAGAGTACACATTCCCTAGGCACTGTGATCAACACTCCCTCCCAAACAACTGCCTCATCACCTCTTGACTGCTCTCTTGCCAGCCCTCCTGAATATATTTGGAGTTTTCAGTTTTTTTGGAAAGATCAAGAAATTCTGAAAGAATGGGTGTCCAAATTATAAAGATGAAGTGCATATTTTGAAAAAATACATATTGACAGGTGTAACCATGGTAACAGCATATATACTTTTGTAAACGGGTTAGTTAGGGCTTGGGTCATGTCCCTCACACTGGATCAACCTTTGAAATTAAATGTCAAAGAATATTTATGCAAGGTTACTATTACAGTTAAAGATGAGTTTATTTTGTGTTGTTGAACATCTCCGATAAAGTTATCAAAACCTGAGGACGCAAAAAAATTTCCAGCATTTTTAAGGGACAGATTAATTTTTTTCCCAAACATCCCAGGCCTCCATCAGATTGTTGGCCCCTAACTAATCTGTCTGGTGATATTTCAAACTTATCTCAGACAGGAGGATCTGGAAACTGAAGTTCGTAAGTTCACAATCTCCACTCTTACACCTGTAATTGCAAGAGGATACACACCTAACACATCAGTAGACAAGTCAGGTCTTCTTCAGAGTGGTGGTGTATACCTCTAAATACACGAAATGGCATAGCCTGAAAACCCTTCCTCAAACTGTATGTACATTTACACTATTGGCGTTGTTGATTCTTCAGAGCTACTTGTCCTTGATTGTCGGACCAGTTTTGTCCTGCAGTAATACATGTTCTCATTGGTTTTTCAAGATGTACCAGCTATTAGAAGTATCAAACTCAAATTGTCCAATTTTATAAAATCTGAAAATTTCAAGTCACTCACCCATACCAGGTTCTGCTAGTCATTTGTTTGAATTGTGGATTCACTCTGAAGACCCGGGTTAGAAAACGTCTTCAGCAACTCATGCTTGTCGTAAAAGGTGACTATGCTTGTTGTAAGAAGCGACAGGATTGGGTGGTCAGACGCGCTGACTTGGTTGATGCATGTCATCGTATCCTCAATTGCGTGGATCGATGCTCATGATGTCAATCACTGGATTGTCTGGTCCAGACTCGATTATTTACAGACCGCCATCATATAGCTGGAATATTGCTGAGTGCGGCATTAAACAACAAACAAACAAATCTGATTATGATCCTTGGTTTGACATGGATTCCTCCTCAGGAGTGACTTCTCACATGCCACAAAATAACAGAAGCTAATACAGATCAACTCAACCACTCAAATACAGAAAACCATTTTTAATACTTGGATCATTGACCAACTGCTCCAATATTTGTTTTCAAATAAACTTTAAATTTGGCTTTTATATTTTTTTTTTTTTATACAGGCTCACTCCTTTAAGTTTCTTGCATAATTTCTTGTTCGAT